ATGTTAAATGCATTATTTTTGTGTGTTTTTTTATAACAGGATGTCATCCAACATTGTGAAGAGCCTAATGGATCATGCTATTCCAGAGGTCTAAGGCTTGGCACGGGACGCAGAAATGATTAAGAAAATATGTGTTTCCAACTGGCCTCCTCTGCTGCTTTCTACTTAGATACAGTTCACAAATCACTGCTGTATACTGTATAAGCCATGGTGGTACTCAGGACAAGAAAGTACCATTTAGCAGCCTCTACATAAAGCAGTTGTTCTGCAACATGCATTCACACATACAGTACATGTCTCACACTACTGAGGTAAAACAAAAGTTCAGATCATTTGGCCTGTTTACAGAATTCTGTCTCAGACTTTTGTTCTGTATTTATACAGAAACTTGTCTGCATGAAGCAATGGATGTTGTGTTTTATTGCAAGACTTCACAGAAGTTATTTTGTTCATGTATTGTTAAGCTTTAATTTTAGATGTCTGTTTTACAGAGCTCGTAATTATGGGCTTCAATGTTAATTTATTTTCAGAAAAAATATTATTCACTGCTGTGTAGAACTAATGTGGGGTTTGTTGCTTTTCCTTTAAGGTATTTTACCTGTGTGTGGGGGGCACTATATATTTTTAAGTTGTACTCTACATTTTAGTTTTGTTGCATTAAAAAGAAACAAATGTCCATGTTAAATTAATTATTGGAGAATATTTTTTTGAATGGAGGTACAGTACTGTATAAACTTTTCACATTTATAATAGTATCAAGCTGTGGTGTTTTTTAAATAATTCTGGTCTTGAAAGATCATTTATCTGTTCTCTTCAAACACAGTACTGTAGCAAATAATGTTTTATACATGTGTACAGTATCTTTCAATTACAGCAGGCACAGTAAATAAATAATTCTGTAACTGCCAAGGATAGTTTTGTTGACAAGGAATATACAGTATCCCAGTCCTGTGTTTCTCTTGCGTTTTATGTTTTAAAGACCCTTAAATATTGAAAAAACATTGGTTACAAATAGGGGAAAAAACAGCAATATGTTTTTTTTCTATGTGAACTATTTTATTTGGAATAACAGGGCATAATCATAAGGAACCAAATGTTGTCCCATTTGTACGTAATGGTAGCATTAAAAGATTGGGACTTAAATACTCTTCATATAAACGTTTACATTCATGAGGTAATTCAAGCAGAAGTTCAAAACTGTGCTAATCAAATACTGTTTCCCCAGAGAGACAGCTGTATCCAGTATATTTCCCAGGTTTGTACACATCATTGCTTTATATTGCTCCCTGAAGCCAAAAGGCAGATTACTAACAGTTAAAACAATCTGCATAGAATTAAAAGAATAATTGTGCATTTTGCTTCACTTAAGACAACAGCATGGTCATACTAAAAAAAAAACATCTGTATATTTTTAAAATGTAATACCTGAACCAAATGTTTAAGAGGTGGTCCACCGAAAGTATCTACCTACCTGTACAAATGCAAAAAATAATATCTAAAATACACTGGTAGCTTCTTATACAGTAAAATACATATAGGTTGAATGTCAGTAGTATACCACACGGGATACTCATAACCACTGTAGTGTGTGAAAGAAGCACATTTCCTTAAAATGATAGGATTGTCGGAGAAAGACTTGGACACGCTCATAAAATCTCAACCACCCCACAGATTCTGTTTTGAAAGCAGAAATGACTAAGGTTTTATCTTATTCTCCAATGCAACATACATTTAAACAATGCATGCAGTATGCAGTGTGCAGATTACACAACATCCCTGTAATGTTTTTTGTATTCTCATGGATAACCACTGTATACGGGTAATTGAAATTGACTGCAACTTGAATTGAGATGTCTGCATGCTGTATAAAACAGTAGACAAAATTCAAATGAATGCAAAATGTATTCAAGTTAGGATTAAGAGTGGCAAAGAGAAAGTCATCTTTGTATATCTTTCTATATAGTATACTTGTACTATATAATACATTTTATGGACTGTTTGGTTTTGTCTCAAAAGGACTTAACTGATTCATCACAAACCATGAAAAATGTATTCATGATTACATTGTGTACCGTATAAGTTTTCATGCAGTTATATAAATTTGATGTCTTCATCATTTCATGAAGCAGTAAGCAAGACTATTCATTGTAGTTTAAGGAAACTTAACATTGTCAACAATGCCAGATCTTCACAATGCACCATCAAAAATAAGTTGGAAAAAAAGGGGTTGCTTCACTTGCTGAGCATTTTCAAAAAGCAAAAAGGCCCTAAAGCTGTCATGTTATAGGCAACAAGGCACATTGCAAGGTAAAAAACATGTATAGAACAATAATATACAGAGATTACACAGGACACAGAACAGTATCTACCAAAAATGCATCAACATGCAAATATATATAAACATGACAAAGCATTTTAGTGCAAAAGATTTATCAACAGTGCATGACAACTGCTTATTCCTTCTATGAGTGATCATATCTGAACATCGGAATAAAACTTGCATCATGTAGAACAGATATGTGGAAAAGTATATACTGCTGAAACTACAGTACAGAGTTCGATATAGATTTGTACATTTGAAAAAAAAATTGCTTATGTTGAAATTCTAAATCTTGGACGTTCCTGTTAGGTCTTGAGCAATTGTGAACATTAGAGGTAAAGGCACTTTGGAACGTATCAGTATTGTGGTTTCCAGAAGATGATCTGCTTGTCTTCAGACCCAGTTATAATACTGCTGCACTGCTCATTCATCCACATGGCTGTCACAGCACCTGCCGAAGAACATTTAAACAAATTCAACGGAAAACAATTCATACAGTAGACCTAAAGCACCGAAGATAAAGTGTTTTAAGACTTTAAAAAAATACTTGTGCAGACTCGTGTAGATATAAATCTGAATTCAGGTTTTTGGTGATGTATAAATAATATTGATTGTACACCTTCTCCCCAGGTTATGTGATTTGACTTAACAAACATTTCTGTTAGACATGTAAAACAAGTAGTGTGGTGAGTTCCTTCCATGGTAAATTAGCACACAGTCAACGTAAGGCAGCCTCATACCTGAATGCCCAGGAATTTTCTTTGTGACTTTTCCACTCATAAGATCCCATACCAGAAGCTCTCCTGTCTGGCTACCAGACAGAACTGTATTGCCATCCCAGCAGAAGCATCTGTAAAATCACCAGTTTACAAGAGTCAGGCCACCACAGCTCATGGATCGCTAACACAGTGAAGTAAATTTGTACGTCACAAAAAACACAAAACCAGTTTCACAAAAAACAGCTCTAGGGCATGCAGAAGACTGGTTGTTTTCTTTGAAGGTTTTGACGATCGTTGGTTTTTTAAAGTGTCGAGTGAGTGTGCTTGTTTCGAAGGAAGGCCAAAGTGTGGAAAAGATCAAAGTTGTTTTGTTCACACTTGATTTTTAAAAATTGAGTCATGCTAACATCTGATAACTGCGAGATTTAAAAACGTGGAAAGATTTTAAAATGATGTAGTTATTCTTTTGGACTAAAAACAGAAGTAGAAATATAATATTCCAAATCAATAAATTCCTGGATGCCAAAACATTCGATTATAAAATAAATGATATGTCCTGGATATATATTTTTGAAGGAGATGACACAATTTCACCTCTGCTGTGCCTCTGAGACCACTGACGAAATAAGCATGCCTGTTTGCACATCAATGACTTTCAAAGTTCTATCTTCTCCAGCGGTGAGGACATGCCTGCTGTCTGCAACAAAACACAAGCGTAAAGTGTTAAAATATTGTGGCATCAATCTGAATGTAAAAATTAACATGGTTTTCAAACTGAGAGAGGGTTTTTTATAGCTACAGTCACATCACATGATGAGATATAAAAAAAACCCCACTATAAGCACTTAAAAATTAACTTTGTCGAAATTTGCTGTCTTTTTAATTTGTGATGTTAAACTCTTATCAGCAGTATAACATCTGCTGAATTTTTGAAAGATCATGTCTTTCATGAGCAATCTTTTGCTTACTATGGAAAACTTCAGATTAGGTTATTTTACATAGCAGACCAACAATTTTTTTTTATTTAGAATTTGGTATTGAAAAATCTCATCAGAGCCCTGGGACAGCCTGCTGCCCATGGAGAAGGAGTTTACAATCCACAATGCTGTTAAGGATGAAACTGGTTTGTAAGACTCAGGGGATGTGATTATGGTTTTAACAAATGTTTAATCTCACCCTGCGATGGAATTTCTCAGGTTGTAATATAGAAAGGAGCAATACTGGGACTGCAACAGAAACCAGCATTCTACCATTGTATTGCTGTGAAGAAATATCTCATAATCTCAGCCAATTACGTGTGTGAATTCTGTGATATTAGACAGTTTAAAAGAAGTTCTTATCAGCAACACAGTATTTCTTGTAATGGTACAAAGCTGAGCTGATCTTTGGGCGATAAGAAAGGAAATAGTGGTAAACTATATTTACCTAAATCAAGCTGCCTTAACAACAAATTAATATATGAAACAGCTGTATTGCTCAAAGATGCAATATACTAAAAGTCAATAAGTAAAACTAAGAAAATAATGATATACAGTTGAAGGTAAGAAGAGCATTTATGTGAGCATAACGTTTTTCATTTTCACTACTGGCCTTGATCTGTGTATGGTTAACTTTGTAATTGTAACTAATGTAATTGTGTATTAATACGCCTGGATTCAGACAGTCCTGTGCACTAGGAAAGTGTCCAATAAATTAACTTAGGATAAACACACATTAAGTCGTAAATTTAACTTAACATTTTAAAAAAACTATAATTTATGAAAAGATGCATCAAGAAAATAACAGTGCTTGAATTTCAAATCCTACTTCAGAATCCCTTTTTTTCCTTTTTTTATTTTTGGAGTGGAACAGTGAAAGTTCCATTTAGTCTTTACTACATTAAAATAAAAGGGTCAAATCTGAGAAACTGCTTTTCAGAAAAAAAAGGGCTCATTAAAACTTTGGATAATTTCAATAAGAAAGAAGTTGTAATGGGGTCCCAGCTAAATCTGTAAAGGTTTTCAATCAGCACCCAAGTTATACTGTGAAAACTTTTGTTGTTATCTTGAGTCAATGCCATTAGGTGACCCGACTGGAAATTGTGCAAAGATAGGGCCCCACCAGAAATGAGAATTAGTCAGCCAAGGCACTCCAATTAGCAAACAGACTCCTTTTACTTGTCAGGAGCTAGCAGTGATGTTAGTAAAAATGCCTTGCTCTTCTGATCAGTATTAATTCTCTTCTCAGGTTCTGTGGAATTTCCTGTCGGTCATAAGGTGTCTTCAAAAAGTACATTCTCACTGCTACATTCACACTCAAGGCTCTGTAGGAACTTCTGTTGGAGAGTGAAGCCTTAAAACAACTGGCAATTTCTGGGTGTTAAAAAGTAACAATTGCATTTATTTTTTAAAAATAGGGTGGTGTGGTGTCTCTGTGGCTAAGGATCTGCGCCTGTGGCTGGAAGGTTGCCAGTTCATATCCTGCAGCTGACAGAGGAATCCTACTTCGTTGGGCCAATGAGCGAGGCCCTTAACCCCAACTGCTCCAGGGGCGCCGTATAAATGGCTGACCCTGCGCTCTGATCCCAAGCTTCTCTCCCTGTCTGTGTGTCTCATGGAGAGCACATTGGGGTATGTGAAAAGACAAATTCCTAATACAAGAAATTCTATATGGCCAATAAAGTGATATTAAAAAGACAGCAACTGATCAATAATACCAAGCTGTCCTTTGCACTTTAGAGACCGTTTGCTGATTTGTATTCTATGGATCTTTTCTGTTCAGCAATGCAAACATAATAGCGAATTAAAAATTACTGTGAAGAGAAAATAAGTACAACCCTGGTGCCTTTATACATTATTTCTTGCTTCAAAAGCATGTAGTTTTAGAAGCAGACTATACTTTAAGAAAGGATAAGCCATCATTGGAAAGCTAGCTGTAGATTTATATCCCAGTGTGGGCTTTTCTAATAAGTTCTTATTTTAAGCAACAAGGTTAAGAGTAAATTCAAAGATAAGAACTGCAACAGACAATACTTTTCCAAGTCAGGTGGATTGGTGTCTGACAATGTTGCAGTTTAGCCTTTCAAAAAACTAAGCACGTTGATAAAATAACTATTTTTATTTCTACCAGCAAAGGTACATAAAAATATATATTACAGTGATATGAAGTGTAGTTTAAATTGAACGTGCTCATTCTTGAGCTTCTAAGCAGATGTGTGTGTTTCCAGCCCAGGGGAAATGTTTTTTTTAATTGTGGACAGACAGATGACTGCAGACCTTTTTAAGCTTATAACCAAGGGAAAAGTTACAGTATATTGGTAAACCTGACAACACACAAAGTCTCTTTTCACTGTCAGCAGAAAAAAACAAACATGTAAGAAAATTTAATAAACTTTAAAATAAGTAAAATGCAAAACGCTAACATACCAGGGCTGAAAGAGATAGCATTGATTTTTCCTGAGTGACAAATCACTTGATGTAGCAGCTCAAAGCTGGTGGCATCCCATATGCTCACAATGCCTTCTTTTGATCCAGATACCAGCATCGTACCCGCAGGGTTCAGGTTTATTGTGTTTACCTAACATATGAAAGAACAAAAGGTGATGCAATTTAAATTTTGCAAAATAAAATGTGAAAGGGCATGAAGTGAAGTGATAGCTCAGATACTATGGCACTATTAAGGCCTACTGAGCTGCCTGTTAAGAATTTAAGCTCTGGACAAACAAGTGCATCATGAAGCCTCCCTAACACTGCACACACAACAAAATGAAAGCTGCACTTGACTAGTATAAAAACCCGAAAACATTTTGTTTCTTTAGATCCATACCATAAAGCCAATGTACTTTGGTTCAATGCTGAACTGACACATTAAGATGTCACAATACTGAAGAACAGCAGGTCAATTTAAAGACCAAGTTTCTTGCCACAGCCTATCAGTAGCCAGTAAGATGTCAATTAATATACTCCCCTCAGTTTAAAAGAAGATGGCAAGAAATTAAATGAAATGAATGTAAGAAATGAAAGCTTTGATCATTTAATAACATATTTGCAAAGAAAATTAATACAATGAAAACATTGTTTGATCTTTCATTTCATAGCACAGAATTGTACTTATTTCCTGTGCATGTTCTAACAAATTTAGACAAACATCATTTCCTGTTTTAACATGAAGACACTAGAAAATGTTAGAATCATACAATATGTGGTTTTACAGTAGTGGAAAACAACCCAAATCAGATATAAGTTAGCATGAACAACTAAAGCTCCAGTTTTTTCAGACTCCTTTGTAAAACTGAAAGATTGTATCTTTCTAAATCAGCCACATCTGTTGCCAAATCAAGTTAAAAACACAAACCAAAACAGGCAAATGATGGAGATGTTCTGTCCTACTTAAAAATAAATCTTTCTCAGCAATGTTATATTTCTGATTCATTGATATACTGTACAACATACTTACTCCTGCATCATGTTCTAGTTCGGCCAAAAGCTCAAATTGACTCCTTTTATTGCTTGAGAAATCTGAAGGAACACACTTCCATACCTGAAACAGAAAAACAAGATGCATGACTTAACCAAATCAGACACGGTGAGGATCAATATACCATAAAGAACAAATGTAACGTAAGTATATACTTAGTGTATCTGAAAACCTGATATTTTAAGCATTGTCTCACTACCATCATATAATATTGAGCTCATGGGTCCACATTTACTACCAAAACCTTAAGCACAGACAGACTTTATCTGCCTTCATCTCCAGCAATATGGATATAATCTATCAAGTGCTGAGTGTTAACAAGTACTGTTTGACAAACTATACGTAGTTTACGGTTATATAATTTCTTATTAAGTTCATGTAACGGAGCAGCTACTGCATTAAAGGATTTTATTGTTTGGGAGTGTATGGAAAAAGGTTTTATTATTGATAAATAAACATTAAGGTCATGGTTTTGGGGTGATCTAAAAAGATATCGGTGCAGGGGCGTGCATCCAGGTTAAGTGCAAGCATTTGCAACAAGGTTGCAACAGATCACACTGTGGAACTGCTGCTGGTTAAAGACTCTTTAAAAAGTATAAAGGAGTCTCACAATGAACAGTCATCTCTAGATGTTGTTAGATGGTAGAGCTCCTGCTTAGTTGACAGATAACATCAGTCTTCTGGTTGCAGGTGGATAGATGGGAGAAGTTTTGATATGTGAAGTGAGATACATGGTTGGTTTCTGGTTCTGGTTGGCAAGAACAAGGAGCAGGTTCGCTCCATATGCTTATGGAAGGGAAGACCAAAATAGCTAAAGCACGGTTTTAAGGTACTTCAAAAGGAGTGCTCAGCTCTTCCCGAGGGTTTGTTCCAAAGGAGAGGTCCTTACAGTCATCAGTGGAGATGTAGCTCTCGGGTGGAAGGTGTGTCTACTGCTAGGTTTGATGGAAGGCAATAAAACTGCATGTAAGTAAACTGGGTAGACAGATACATTTGTAGTAGACCCAACTGTTGTTGTGTCAGGTTTCAGTTAAGATTAGCATCCCTGCCCAAACAGGATTAGCCAGGTGAAATTCAGCTACTACGGATTATGATTACAACTGGTTAAGGTTAAACTGTGAGTTAAAGGTAAGGTTTCTAGTTTGATTTTAGAAAGCGGGGGAGGTAAGACAGGGTTGAGTTTTAATTTCAGTTACAAATCTTGGAGGGGGTTTGGATAATCAGGGCCTCTAGACCACATGACTGTGGGAAGAAGACCTCATCCATGTGGCATAATTCCGATATATCAAATAGAGGCAACTGCAAGAGATCCCTCAAGTGCAAGTATGTTGCTTTCGACTGTTCGGGCACCCTATGTTTCTGTCTGGTGATTGGTTGCCTGAGTAAAAGAAGCCCTGTCTTAGGGGGGTATTGAGAGTTTTCCCTGTGAGGAGAAACCTGGTTAAACTACAATCCTGAAGAGAGCTATACAAAGAGAAAACAGCTTTAGTTATATGGGTGTTGAGTAACTGGTTTACAGATTATGATAATAAACACAACTTTGCCCAGTGAAACTTGAGGTGTCACCTAAGGCTGGGAATCGGGGCCTGGAGTTAGCCTGTGCCTGGGTTTTAATTAGAAGACTCTAGGTAATCGACACCTGAAGACAACGCAGACCAGGGCTTTAGAAGAAAAATCCAGGTCAATAAAGATGCCACAATTCAAATTCACGGAGTTGGGAAACCACTTGTTTTGGGCTGTGAGTGCAGGGGAAAGGTTACCATGGTGCTCGGTCTGGTTACAAACAGGGATTCACCCCACGGTTCAACAAATAGGTTAATTGACCACTCAGTCACCCTAACAAGAGAAAATTAGGAATTCTAATGGAATAACTCATTTAAGACACCAAATGTAAAATCTTATTTCTAGAACTCCATACGGTCACAGCAAATGCTCACTCCCTGTTTGAGTAATTTACTGCCACAAAGTTTACCAGACAAATTTTATTTGAATAAAAAAAATAATAAAATTGCTCATTGATATCTTTCCCAATCTCAAACAGTAAAACTAACGCATGCTTGTGTTTTTTCCCAGGGTTGATTACGTATTGTAGAGTGCCTCCTGGCATATCCAAACTTGTTCTTAAGTTGCGGCATGTTCAGAACTCAGCTGCTTGGATATCAGTTAAAACTTAAATGTAATATTACCTATCGGAGCTTCCTTGATCTGACTCCCTGTTTTCAGAAGACATTTCAAAATACTGCTACTCACTGTTAAGGGCTTGAAGCGTTTGGCTCCTGACCATATCAGTCAACTGTAAATTCTCTGTACATCTTACATATTTTTGTAAATTTAATTTCTTTCATTTTCCAAGGAGGCTTCAAACTCTGGGAAACGATACATTCTGCTCTCTTGCTCCAAGACCTTAGAATGACCTCCCAGGTCATTTTTAGCCTTGCACATGAGTCAGCACTTTCCAACTTTTTTAAAACCTTGTTGTTATATTCTGGCGTTTAATTCTGTTTGAAATGCTGTGCATGCTGTGTTTGTGTATACGAGCCTTTATACTTTTTTGCATCATGAAAGGTGCTATAAAAACAATATTATTATAAATCAAATAACTATATTGCTGGCGTTTAGAGGTGGTTATATTATTTTTATGCATGTATTTGTCTCTATGAGCAAGCATATAGTAAATCCTTACCCCTATTGTCTTATCCAAATTCAAAATACAATTATGGACCAAGAAATATCCCAGTCACTTAGTGAACTACATATTAGCATAGTAATAAAGACCTTGCAGTTACCTTTGTCACAATAAAGCAATTTTCTTATGTTTGATGAAAATGCAAATCTAAACTGTAAATAATTTGTCATTTATCACTTGCATAATGTTATTTACCTTTTAAACAGACATGCAAGAAAAAAGAAAAGACAAAAGACAAAAACATGACCCCACAAGACCAGCTCCTATTAGCGTGATTGAAGGCTACCAGTCTGTGGGAAACTGTCTGGAGAATGCCTTAATCAGCAGATCAGTTCAGATGAATCAGTGAACTGAGAAATAAAGGTCATGTCCAGAAAGGCTACATGACCAGGGATCTGTATTTTTGCTGTACATCCTCTGATTTTGTTTGATATCTACAATATGTTTAAAAGACTTGATTGGGCTGTACCTGGCTGTTGCCAATACATTTTAATCTTCAAAGACTTTTGAGTGCACCAACACTCATATATTAAACTAATCTGCTCTTCATCATGAAAAAGCATTGGTTTTCCCAAGCTTCACAACACTTACATATTGCTTGCTGTCATCTCAAGAAAAAATGAATTTTCACTGAGAAAAAAAATTATTCTAGTTACTGCCTTCGCTAGAAAAATAGGACTGTATTTGTAATTTTATTTCAAGAGAGTCTAACACACTAATTATTTATGTAGCAGCACAAAGTCTTTGCTTACGTATTTAAAAAGGTAGTTAATCACGAGGGAAGTATAACTGAACAGATTAATACAAAATATAAAAGTTGTGCTTCCCAGGGCAGATGTCAAATTCCATCAAATACCTGCCTTTACTGTGGAGTCCCAGGAGGCTGTATACAGCTGATTCTCACACCAGCAAATTTTGCTTATAGCGTCATCATGTCCCATGATTGTGTCTTGTCGTCTTCCATAAGCAATGGAATAAAAATACCTAAAAGGCAAAAGAGGTACTAAGCAATTGAGGAAAAAGAAAAGGTTAACTGCATGCAGAAAAAGTAAAGCAGAAATAATGTTTCGTTTGTTGAGCTCTTTTTGAGGTGTCAATTGTCAATCGTGTATATACTGTACATATGACACCTGTAGAAGGCTAAATGGTTAGATGCATTTCTTCTATTTTGCAGCGTGGAATTAACCTTTTACTTGTTCCTTTCCAGCCAGAGCACGATGACGCATGATGACACAAACTTCTTCTAAGCTGTTCAGTTGTATTTAATGATTCACTGCACTTTCCAGGACTGCCAGATTCCTGATGCAAACTCATCATATGATTCATTTTACTGCAGAAAGCCAGATATAAAAAAACCCTAAATGACGAAGGTTAGGTGAATTGTATGATTTTACAACTTACACATTGTTATCCCATGAGGAGCACACAACAACTGTATCATCTGGGAGCACCAAGCAAGATGACAGAGCCTGAGAATGAATGAACTGCACTTTAGAAAAGCAAGTGCTTAAAGGCAGCAAAATGCATGTATATATCTATACACAAAATTGAGTCTTCAGCTCATTAATAAAATCATTGAGCTAACTAAATAAAACTGCAATGTACTACTCTAGGATGAAGATGCGCTAAATCTTACAGTGCACGAACATTGAAACAAACATCATAAGAGGAGTAGCAATATGAACTGCAGAACATATATTACTTTATAAGGCAAAAGAATCTTAATGAAGTGTCCTTCAAATTATGTTCAAGTGCTTTATCTTGAGTATAAGTATAATATTTGGTAAGCCTGTCTAAGTGATCCACACAGAATAAGGACAATTACAAAGGTGTTTGAAACTGACCATATTAGAGAAAGACATGCTCCTTTGCAATAAACCTGCTTCTTTGGAAAACATCTTTAGGGTAGAATCTGTGGGTTTAAAGCAACACAAGATACTATTTTACTAACATCCAAGTCTTTAGGTGTTCCATGCACTGCTCCTGGAATCAAAGTTTCCAGTTTCATAGACAGATAATACAGATGCGATAGTGATTTGCATTACTCCACTATTTCACAAAACTGTTGCATTTGGGTCAAAGGGGGAGTCCAGAGACACACAATTAGCAAATGAGAACAGTCTCACAAACCTTGTGAAGTTGTGAAAACTGATGATCCATTGCGAGTTACTGCTATCCCTGTAACTGCCCTATAACAAAAAATAAATAATCACATGCTATACAATGACACCCACTCTATGCAGGTGTGGTTTTCTTCAGTTTTGTGGAGCAAAATCAAGCTTGAAAAGCATCAGTCTGCAGCCTAAAAGTACGTGCTTACTCGCACATGATTTAAACACAGCCTCTTCCGCGGCACCAACCGATAAAACTCGCAAGACATTAGCAGGAAACCGCCAAACTATAATCCAGCCACAATTGTAACAACTTCCTCTATAGCAGCCAGCTTGGAATTCAAAATAAGTGAGCTCGTTACTTTGTTTGCATTTAAAGGGACACAACTAATTTGCTTGATACAGCCAATGTAACTCACATTCATAGCCTAATCATTTTATATTCAAATCACAGTCTAAAATTGTTTATTCAAATTAAAACATGCTATTGATAATACTGAAATTAAATGTGGAAATTAACAAAAGGCACTTCTTATTAAACCTAACGATAAAGCAATAATAATGATAATAAAAAATATCTACAGTATATATTCATAAAGAAACTACATTGCTTATTTAGACAAACATACAGTACATGAATATAGACAGTGCCTACAGAAAGTATACAAATACCCTTTCCAAAGTGACACATTTTGTGGCCTAACAGCCTGGAATCAAGACACATTAAATCAGAATGCATTTTACCCATATTTAAAACCTCCAAGTGAAAAACAAATGTTCAAACATTCTGAAAAGTAATTACAGATGAAAACCTAGAAAAATGGGTTGCATAAGTTAAGCACCTTTTGGAGTTACAGCAATAATTCTGTTTGGATAGGCTTTATCCTATCTTTTGGATAGGATGTATTGATGTAGCACAACTACATTTGGCAATGTATGCCCATTGCTAATTCCAGAAGTGTTCAGAACAATACTGAAGGATCAAAACAGAGCAAGCAGCTCAGGAGTCAGACCATGGACAACCCAGCCCATCCATCTTCAGGGAGTTCAAATTCATCAAGAAATGTCTGACAACTGGATCTTTGAGTATAAAACTTCTGTACTTCGATTATAATTCTCAAGAGCTGAACTATTACTCCAAACATGTTATATAATTTACAACAGAAAATGCATATTTACAGTACTTGTTTGTGAGAATTATAAATATGATTAACTATATCTGATATGACCCATGAGGTAAACCATACCATGTCAGAGTCATTATATTTTAACTCTGACATTATTAATTCTCATCTTTGAAACCTCATCTCTGGGAGAATAATCAACCTTTTGTATCACAGCAGATCAATTCACAAATATGTTCTGTTGTTTTTGTTGGTTTGTTATGCACATTGTGGTGTTGTATCAATAAATTGTATGTTGTACATTTAGAATCCATGTGCAAGAGTAGTTAATTGTGTTTGATTCCTAACAGTTGTGAAAGAACTCTTGTTCCAATTTCTAATTGTTTCAGTACATTAAAAACAAAAGCCCTATGTAAGTGTAAGCAATTATTATTATTATTATTATTATTATTATTAAGAACATGCTTATTTTCCTTCAACACAAATACACTGCTCTCATAACAACATAACATGAGACATACAAATTAAAACTTACTCCTTATGGATTTTATGGCTGGACACAATCATCAGCTTACAGATATTGTTCCATGCAAGCTTCCTGCTTTCTTCGGTCAAATCTTCAAAGGAGGAATCTTCACTCACAGCTGCTAAGAGAATTATAGGTTCAAGTACTGTACTTAATGTGCACAATTGTGTTAATCGATGGCCTAATTACAGTATCTACGCTACCTTTCACATGGATATTATAACATTAACCATTCATCTGCTATCTGCTTTACTGTGAAGCTGTCTTATGGAGAAAGAGGGAACCCTTCAGCAGGAGTGTCTTACCTGGGGACAGCTCATTCAGGGAGGCGCTCTGGCTAGGTGTCCTCGACATACTTTGAAACTTGGGTGTTATCCTCTGAGGGTGCGGAGTGGTGAACAACTGCTTGGGCGTTTGTCCAAATTCCAAAATCTGGGTCAGCATTGCTATTTTCTGATCAGTATCTTCGATACTACCAAATAAATAAAAAAAATACAGTATGAGTTCTAGGAATGCCACACCAAATAGAAACATAGTAAATGAAGAAAATTTATTTAACCATATTTTCTTTTAAATTGCTGTTATTTCTATATTAATCACAAGAATATACAGTATTAATGTTTTGTATGTATCCTGTCTTGAATTACTGTTCCGTCCAGGTTGGAGTCTTGCCTTGCTTCAATGACACCATGATGCACTGTACAGTGGCTTTCTGCTATTGGATGGATGGAAGGCATTCACATATAAAGCACTGTTTTTCTTTCCTTTTTTGTCAGTCTATGACTAAAGACCCTGGGGAAACTAAATCCTGGCTAAATCTGCTCGTCTAGACTTTTGGGCCAGCCAAAAAGGTCTGGTCTTGTGCTATATGCCAAGAGCTCGTACTTTCATGCCTTTTTGTGTTTTTTTTTTTTAATGTAAACACAATGTAATAATAGAAGCAAAAACAAAACACAATCCGTATTCTGTTTCTAGATTTCATATCACGGAGCTCGGGTTTCCTGAAACGTCTGTAGTCTAGAGTGATAACTCCAACCCTGATAAGGTTTCTGGAACAAATTCAATTTTATTAGATTCCTGGAACACTAGAAAAATATGACATAATACTATTGAATACACTTGCCCATATCTCTTTTACTACTACAACTGGCAGTAACACATACTAAAGTACCATTTGTTTGTTCACATATAACCAATATAGTTCCCATATATGTCTGAATCCCTACGGAAACATTTATGGAATTACCTGTCACAGTCCATGCATCCTTCATATGTCAAAGGATGAAACACTGAAATGAAACAAATGAAGAAATGGAAGGGTTATTTTCAGCTACAGTATATCCCCATCCTTCATGGTTTTGCTAATATATGGAATTGGATAGAGAACTGGCATGGTTTATTGAAATTATTTCAGGAATTTAAGTCATTTGTTTTCTTAATTTTCTTTAAATAAAAGTTTAATTGGTGCATATTTTGTGTTCTAAATTTCTCCTGAAAACCTCTCACAACAGAAGAAATATCAAGGGTTTGAGGTTTCTTTCTTATTTACTAGCAGAAAACCTTGTTTTACTAACCCAAATGACCTTATTATTTACCATGAAAATTCAGTGATAATGTCAAGTGGGTCAACTTCTAACATGATGTTTGGGAGTGAAAGAAAAATTCCTCAACACTATTTTGTTAAAGCTCTGCTTCAGTGAAGCAAAATCAAACAGTATCGTTACTATGATAAGCACTATGGAACATGACAGTAATGTCATTTCCACAAAAATAATTGTGCATGATGCTACAGTATATTTTGTTGTATAGCGTTTATGAAGGAGTTTTGACAATGTTTATTTTTTTAAGTAAAATGTACTGTTCATAAAAACAAATTAAAAAGCAACTTGCAAAATAATGCATACACTTTGTTCTCATTGCTTTACAATGAATCGGGAGTCTAGTCTGGTATACAGTACGTGATTGAAAATAAGTTTACTCTGTCAAGGTTAGGTGTCTTGTTAGACATGGTCAGCAATCTTTCAAGATTTCAAGATCAAGGCAGGTGGTGTTTTGTTCTTATGACAAACTACAAGGTACATGTTAAATCCTAAGCAGCCCTGTTGCACATACCATTATGTGCGGCAATGGCATCACAGCTTTTCTGCTTGTATCCGAAGATCAGATCAATCCACTCATGAAGGTGCTCAGAGACATACTGGCTCTCTAAAGCTTTTCGACATTTCTGAAGGAAATCATCTGCATCTGAAAGAGGAGAAGGAATACGTTCATTGCTCTGTACTTAGCTCTGTTCCCAGTGCTCGAAGGATTTATGCAACAGTTTTTCATGTGAGAATGTTAACACTTGGGATTTTGAATGGTGCAGGAACCCGAGAAGTGGCAGGTCACTGTGTCGCTGGGAGCCATGAGAGCTCTCACTGCAGGATCTCTGCCGAATCCCAGTCACAGTTGGCTAGTGACAAGCCCCAGGCTTGAGCTAGGATCAGAGAGCACATGAAAGCTACTTGAGCTACTTGAGTGCAGTTAGACAAAATCTCTTTCCATTATTTTATGGAATTAAAATTAAACTTCATGTAAAAATATTACACTGATTTTTTTCGGTTTAAGAATTCAATTAGCAGTAGTTGAAGATCTGAGTGTTTCTCAATTAAGGCCCAGCGAAGCTGTTAATAGTCGAACTGATTTATCCAGATTGTTGTAGTGAATTACTGTATTTTAAAATTAGTCAAGCCCTTTCCAATGACTGGCAAGTAACTAAAACTTTCAGGTGTAAATATGATAAAAACAAGTTTGAACAAATCCAGGCAGACAGCTTTCCATAACTTTCTTCAGAATTTTGGAACTGTTACCATGATCTTGGAGGAGAAAAACTACAACAAGCTACAACATGAGCACCTAACATTTCTAACAACATGCAACACACAAACACACTTAACAACACACAAATTTCTAAAAACATCCCATCCTTTGCAGTATAGATGTTGAAATGCAGACAAATTCTGAATTCAGAAACCACAGCTTCATCTACAGATAAGACATGGTATTAATCACAAATGCCTCATTCGTTATAGCTCCTCGCTGAATAGATGAATAGATCCTCGCTATCAAAACTCAGAAGTACAAATAATACCCAGTGATGGCATTATTCTGATTCTTAATCACTTCCCACCGACTCCAATTTTTAAGATTCGCCCTAGCATATACAACATTGCAAGACCTGTTTTAAGATCTCTTTCTCTCTGTATCCTTATCAAACATTTTAAACATTCTGATAAGAAATGGATGTGGTTTTAGCTTCTGAGGCTAAACATACTTAATGTTTCAACTAAATTAATGTCATCCCTTCTTGTATCTCACAATGTAAAATGTTGAGGTAGAACTCGCTACTTAAGAAAGGCTTAGGTATTTACTGTATGTTGACATGTCATTTACATCTCTCAGATATCGATGAGAAGGAATTAAAAAGGCTAAACAATTCTAGTTAAAAGCAAAAATAAATAAATTAAGGGACAGTACAACACATAAGTAAGTTCGAATTTAAAACATTGTGCTCAATTTTGGTCACTGCCCTCAAGAAACATATTAATGTTCTGGAATCAGTCCAGAGAATAGTAACCAGATACATTCTAGGGCTTAAAGGAATGTTCTACACTGAATGAATGAAGGAACAGAACTTTTTTATTCCTAAATAGAGAAGACTATGAAGGGACTGATACAAGTATTCAATATCCTCTAAGGCACTGACACCCAGCAGATTTCTTCAGAATGAATGAATGAGTCTGAGGACACAAGCTGAAACTATGTGGAAGAGCATTTACAACCAAGAATAGGGTCACTTTTTTACAAAGAGGGTTGTGGAAGTATTAGCACAAGTTACCCAGCCATGTTGTTAAAGTTGATACCCTGGTTTCTTTATTATTTCTAATTACCACATGGGCTTAATGAGCTGAATGGCCTCCTCTCATTTGTAACCTTACTTATGTTCACAAACACATCTGAAAAGTAACTGTGTAATACTGTGCTCCCCAATTTTGGTCCTTGAGAAATGTAGACATTGCAGGTCTCTTAAAATCATCAGTGGCACAAAAAGCTCAAAAAGAGGGTTAGAATAGGTCAACTGAAGTTTAAAAAAGATTAATTCACTGGCCCTATACAGGTCAGATCCTGCCGATGTGCTAATGAGACCTGCAAAACCAGCCTGACTGCTGTCCTTGAGACGCCGACTTGGGAGAGCCGATGAGCTCAACAGAATGGAGACAGTCTCTCTACTGATATTTGTGATCTCTCAGTGCCTTTACCTGATGCCCAAGGAGGAAGCAAGACATCTCCCACCATCTTTCCGCCTTGCCTCTTCCCCAGGTTCAGGCTCAGGCTGTTGACCAAGAAACTGGAATCACTCCCGTAAAACTCAGGAATCAACTACAAAACAGTATTAATAACAGTCACAACAATCATTACATTTATGAGCACTTTTCAAGAAACCCAGAGCACTGAAGATGCGGTCAGGACCGCTAATTGGACACGCGTTGCCACAAGCACACGATGAGTTACAGCTGGGGTTCATTTCTCTAAACAATGACGCTATGTTTAATCTTCTCCTGTGCAATACTAATTCATGACTGAAAAATTACAGACTTCTTTAATGGTCCAGGAGATTTTAAAGATTAGTTCCCCACAGCGCAAAGTAAGAATTTACCTGTCTATAAATTAAACTTCAGATTACAGTTGTAATATACTGTATATTACACCATAATACCTACATATTTGTACAAAACATATATTTATCATTATTCAATTGTGCTGGAAAATCTTAACTTGATATCTCAATTCTGGTACTTTAGATGATTATCAAAGAGCAGACAGTAAATGTGTATACTTTTTTATTTGTTTACAGACTCTTTTACAATCTGTACACTAATAAAATCATTTTCTACTTCAATGTTTGCTTCTTACAGAGCTGAAAAATAATTCATTAAAACTGTAAGTTATCATGAACCTGTAAACAATCCTGATCCATCAAATCAGCATTGTAAAAAAACTGTAAAATATCAATTTTCAATAAAATTTCAAAATTACTCATACCTTTTACCTTTCTTTATTAGTGTTGCATTTAAACAAAACTTTTATCTAAACCAACAGCAATACTGTTCTGTGTATCTCTGTAAATTTTAGTTTTAAAATACTGTCAATTATAAACGTATACTGCCATCTGTTGGACAAGTATGGAATTACTAAAAGTAATCACTAAAAGTCACAAGGCCTATCCTAAACGTGAAGAAAATAGTAGCAGACAAACATATAAACATAGTAGTGAAAAAACACTACTTGTTAATCAATATAATTTATCTACATTTATCGGTATGTACTCAGGCTAATTTGTTTTATAACCCACAATATGCAAGAGTTGGCCTTTGGAAGCAAAGGTATTGGAGAAAACTTTTACCTCTTTAAAGTCAGTTGCTCCTTCTAAGCAGTTTTTCCAAGTTTCGGCTATACTGAATAAATAGCATTAACATGAAATTAATTTCGATAAAATATACTGCTGTCTATGCACTGCTATTTAAAGATGAGTATAACAGCAAGAAACTATGTTTACTGAAATGTACACACTGTGAAAAAGCAGATATACTGTTTCAGACATCCTCACCAACAACATTTTTTTAGATTTCTATAAGGCATATAAACATCAACATATCTACTGTACGTACAGGTAAATGGAAAAGCATCACTGCTGTTAACAAAACGTGGCTACAAGAGGGCGTAAGCACCACGACAAGCCCTATAACAAAGTAGTTTAAGTCTAGCATTACGTTTTCACTGTTTAAAACTTTATGCTGAAATGGCACGCGCTACAAAGATGCAACCGTTTAATTTGAAAGCAATCTACAAAAGACATTTTTAAAACCAGGTCAGCAACTAGGTAAACAAAACTACAACAAATAAGAACAATTAAATATGAACATAAAAAACCTTGATGAGACAAAGACAAATGCAGGGACAATAAATTACTCAAGCAAAGCAGACTGAACATTTAGCATACCTGTTAAACATTCTGTCTGCATGGTCATACCGCCCATTCTGTAAACACAGCATGTGCTCGGGAGCTATGAAAAACAACAAATGAATGAGAAATGACAATTTTTTAAACTGTTAACATGTTCAGTTTCTGATTATCTGGATTTCTGCAAAAGGTCTATTTAGAAATAAAATACATCACAAGAATCAACATTGATCTTAATGTAGGCGTTACCATCATGAATAGTAGTTCAAGTGGGTAGCTACATCAGTACAAAGGAACAAATAAAGGTTTATTCAATGCTGAAAAGAGAGGAAAAGAAAGACAACATTTCAGCTGTGGAGCCTTCTTTAGGTGTAAGAGAGAGATTAGAAAACGCTCTGGGTTTTTCCTTTCTCTCTCACACCTGAAGAAGGCTCCACAGCAGAAACGCTTCATTTCTTTTCTTCTCTGTTCAGCGTCGAACCTTTACTTGTTCCATCGTGGATCGTAACTGAGTTTGGTCAGCCAGGAGTTTAATCTTCACCATATGGATTAGTTGAAAAAAATCATGACACCATCAAGACATATCAGAGGACCTCAGAAAACAGGAGGAGATCCTCATTTGCCTGGAGGGGATTCCATAACAATTTCTAGTTTTGTATTGCACCTCATCAGATAAGATACACAGGACCAGTCCTGCCTAAATCTCCCCAAGAGCAGCCTGGATAATCATTCAGAAAATCACAAAGAACCTTAGAGTAACATCCAAGGATCTGCAGGTCTCTCACTGTGGCTAATGCCATGATCATGCCTCATCCATCAGGAAAAGACAGAACGGGAATGGTTTTCATGGGAGGATAGCCAGGAAAAAAACACTGAAAAACAACACTGCCACCTGCCTCACATTCACCAAAGTGCATCTGGAGGACCCATAAAATTCCTGGAATAATGTTCTCTGGAAATGTTTTGTGTGGCAAAAACCAATGAATGCCCTGCAGCACAAGAACCTAATTTTGACCATCTCACATTGCCAGGACCTGGACAGCCTTTCATGTTTGTTTGAATTCACATTCTCAGGAATGTGAGGTAATCCATTCATCAGCTGAAGCCGAGCTGATAGTGGGTGATATAATGTCATGTCATGTCATGTCATGTCATGTCATTTAACAAACCGCTTTATACCATATGATGTCGCAGGAAGCTGGAGCCTACCTGGCAAGCAGCGAGCGCAAGGCAGGGTACACCCTGGACAGGGTGCCAGTCCATTGCAGGGTAAGTGCAAGCCCATCATACATGGGGACAGTTTGGAGGCCACGGGAAAGGCAGAGGGGGTAAATTCGGCCCTGACACTGGGATAACTCCCTACTCTTATCAAGAAATCCCCGGGGATCTTTAATGACCACTGAGAGTCTGGACCTTAGTTTAACGTCTCATCCAAAAGACAGGGGTTATATAACGATCCTAAATAGATCATCAGAACTACAACAGAATGGGGGAAAAAGAAAGTTTGCATTTTGGACATAAACAGAAATGATCTGGCAGGAACTGTAGCAAGCTCTTCCTATAAGGAAACCCTCAAATGTCAACAACATGACTCGTCTGCAAAAAGGAATGGGCCAAAATTCTTAAGAAACTAATACAAGACACTGATATATAGTTAGAGGAAGCATTTACTGTCGGATCATTTTTTCAAAATTAAATAATCCAAATACAGTATATCTTATGTCACTGTGTTCTATGTTTAATCACCTTATCATAACCTTTTATTAAGACTTTCATGAAGACCTTATTACATTTTAGGTCTAAGATAAATGAGAATACTGACCAACCTAGGAGTTTCACAGTCTTTTTCTCTGCCCTGTAGGATGAGCCTATCTCATCCAACACTGTAGAGTGATATGTATCCACCAGTTGAGTGATATGCTGGAGCCATTAGGTACCAACAGCCACACAGCACGTCAGGAAGAAAAATGGAGAAAATATTTCACCAGTTCAGTTAAGAGGGGATTTCAGGGAGGCCAGATTGTGGAAGACTAAAGTGGAACAGCGTACCACAGTTCACACCTGTACTCTTACAGTGTTATAGGATTTTTAATAAACCAGTTGCCAGGATCTTGGCTTAATGACGTATCCAGAGGACAGCTCCACCTACTGTACAACTCAGTGTCCCTGGGCATTGTACTGGGGGCACTGTTTTCTAGATGTTGGTCTACAGGAAACAGCGTCACCTACTGGTCTACCAGCGTCATTTTCAGGATCAACCTGATTTTTCTTAGAGGGCTCCTATCCCAGTACTATGCCCAGCCTTTCTTAGCTTTTGAAAGTAAGTCTGTAAAGATACAAGCAAAAGTAATGAGGAATAAGCAACGAAATGTGAGGATCATAAGGATAGACGTACCCACTCTCACAAGGTAGAAGAGCACATAACCAGGTGAGGAATAATGGCTTCCATACATGAACTTTGGCTCTGGCATATCTCTGTAACGGACCTGGACAAAAAGAAAAACACAGCTAAGTGCACTGCTTTGCAAAGGCCTCAGGTGCCTTAAACACAATCCAGAGTCAAAATCTGTATATATTATCACAACAATTCATTTAATGATGAGTGATATATACAAGCTTAATTGTGTGGGAGAGGAAATCAAGTCTGTGACTCAGCAATCACACTGATCAGGATCTTCAAAAACTGGATCACAGAAACTCAAGATACATGAGTAGATAATACAGAGTGAGTGTTGCAGAAAGTAATCTGTCCGCTTTACCAAAAAGAAAATAGGTGACTCTTTATCAAATGTTGCTCTGTACACATTCATGTTAAAAGGCTGCTTTTTGTATACAACGTACTTGTATAAATCTAACAGGATATATGGTCTGAAAACAAATCTACAGCAATCTTTAACTGAAAATGCAGATATTTTGTGTTTTCACAAAAGCATGAAAATAAATTAGTGAAAAGAGTAAGACAATGAAAAATGCCTAACCCTTTTGGCACAGCAATTGATATATACTATAGGTACCAGCATATAACTTATCCCGCAATGTGAAAACTATCACTTGACACTTTTGTTATTTTCTATATATGTTTACGTTAAACTGCTGCTATAATCAATTCTTTGGTCAATAACAATTATACCTGTGTAATTCTTAATCAGCAAATTACATTTGTAATGTAATTGTATTTTTAACCATATATGACCCTTTGCACACTGGTTTATTTGCAATCATGTAATTCAAATTATTGAATAGTATGCTTATACTATATTTCAAGAAACTTCATGATTGAAACAGAAGATATGATCCACATACATCATTAGCCTAATTTCCATAAACTTTTAAGGAACAAAACTGCATTTTGCAAACAAAAGAACTCTACTTACTTGAGACAGCAGCAGTATAATTTAATTATATTTAAATGAAAGTATACATGGCACACTAATTATTAGCTGTATATAGCAATGCCTTACCAAGCCTTATTCAAAGTTATGCATTACTTTTCACACCAAACTATTATCATGCTGTCATATTCTCATATTTAAAACCATAGTGGATGATCCCAGAGGCAGGTGACCTTGGTAACTTCAAATATGTGGTAAAAGCACAATGGTACAAAGATTTTAGGATCCTGCAAATTCTTGCTCAACGACTTCAATTCTACAAAGGCAAATTGCAGTTACAATTATGGATTATTAAAATAAGTGTTCCACCAATTCATTGTACAGTATATTCACGAGAATATTAAAAATGAAATGAACCTTGTGCCTTAAGCAGAGACTGATGCAGACTCAGACTCATAAGGTTGATATATGTACAGGTATCTCACCCCTTGAAAAAGCATGGGAAAACTTTACAAATCCACTATGTTAGAGACTTAGCCTTACCCCTTACACTAAACCCATGTTTAAGATATGGATCAGTGTTTGGATAAAGATGGATTATGTGTTTAAAACTAAACTACTGTCATCAGGAAGAATAAAGGGTTTATAAAGTTTGGACCTCACCAGTCACCTGATCTTAAGCACAATCGAGTGATGAACTTTATTTAAATGTGTATGAGTGAAATGAGTGAACAAGTCTGTGTACCTGTGGTTGCTAACATGGGGGTTTCATGTTAGGACAGTGGTTAAGATTTGGTAAAGTTTTATCATTACCTAACTTTTTATTCCTATTGTTTAAATATTTAATTAATTGTAGCATTTATGTTTTTTGTGATGTATATTCTTATGTATGATTCTTTTTAATATTATGTAAGGCAGGGCTGCTTCAGCACAGAAGGAAGCATAGATTGTTAATATTACTTATATCATGAATTTTATATTATGATTATAGCAATATCAAGATTAAATCTTTAAATCGTTTCTATAAATCTATACTATACATTCTTAAAACTGAACCTACAGTATCTTAAGAACAGTTAAATATAACCTAAGAACAGTTCAGTACCAAAAAAGAGACTTGTGTACTAATTCTTTCCAGTATAATGACTTAAATCACAATCGTCAATTTGAGTTTTTAAAAAAATTGTATCCAAACTGGTCTTTCTGTGAAGTTAACCCTAAGGACACCTAATCGAGGCTCCTGACACTGGGTTAGGATTGAAGCTCACTACTGCAGTCTTGGAGCCACTTGAAAGAACGCTTACCAACAACCGCTCCAGTCTTTCTTTATTCAGCGCGCCAATTGGCTTGCTCAAGTCTCGAAACGTGTCAGGATTCATCAAATCTAGTGAAAGGAAACAAAAGACAGCTTTACAAAAAAGACTGAATTTCCGAAAAGGCATTTGAAATTATTTTGAACAACAATTTTACTCTTCCTGGATGAAAGAACAGAAAGAAAATAAATACGAAACACTGCAACAGATTAAATACAATATTTAAATTTTATAGATTTCAAAGTACAAAAAACATATAGAAATGTCATTTTTATTGCTTTCTCTAATGTAGCTTAGCAAGTTTAGAATGTGAGATTTTAGAATGAAGAGATGAAACCATTCCTTGGTAAGGACAAATCTTATTTTTTGCTTTATAAACAACAAACCTTTATCCACCACAATTCAAACAGCCTGTCACTGTCTGATGGGAGAAAACTAAAAGGTCTGGAGTTTCAGTCACAGGGCTCCAGACTGCTACTGAAATGGTGGCAAATGGTGACAAAAATAAGAATTTGCGACAATAATTTAAAGTCTAGTCGCCATTAGTGATAGACACCAAAATGTTGTTATTTTGTGTGCATATGTGGTCAAATTTCATCTGGTGATGAGGTGTTACTTAATTACATCTTTAGAGTGCAGGCCTTATACGTCTCTTCATTACAGCACAATGTTGTTGATTATGAAGCACAATGTTGTTGGTTAATGTAGAAAGCTAAGAAGCTACGCACTAGAACACAGGCTACTGCAAAAGTTCCCCACGCTGGCTGATCTGCTAACAATGGCGAAGCGTAAAATGACAGAATTTTTTTTCACAGTTTGATGCATCTCTTTCCCGGTGGATCTTCAAAACTGCAATGGATCCTCAAAATTCATCCAGCGAACTTAATGTGAGCAAGGAGGACAGTGCATCTGAACAACCGTCTACTGTAAATCGAGCAATTAATCCGTCAACAGGTCTGAACGGCACTTCAGAACTTCGTGGCTTTTGGAATTTGCCTCAGCACTGTGGCATGTTAGGCACTGTGCCTCAGACAGAACAAATTTGACCTGTGAATCCTGTTCCTCTTGTCTGCATTGCCAATAACTACACCACATTGTTTTTAATTGCATTCTGCTTGCCCATCTTGTCTGTTCTGTTTTCTGTACGTCTTTTGATTCCTTCACCTTTTTCTGTGCAGTTTCTTTTGTAGACTGACAGCAACTCGTGTTTCTCCTAGGCCTCTGGTTTAGATCAGTATTAACAGGCTGAAAGGTCTTGTGAATGCAGCAGGTCTAAACAGGTTATAAGAATACATCATTCGATATTTGAAAAGGACACAGTTTACATTTTGTGCTGACACCAACCAGGAACAAAGGCCATGGGAATTCTTCAGTTCTGAGAACTGCTTTGCAGTCATCCACGCCTTTATCCCCCTTACTGGATGCACATTCACTTGAGTTATTGGATATGTGAGTTGTAATACATACATCTTTATCTATCATATCTTAGTACAAAGCTGTGCAACACCAAGATTTCATTTTGCAATTTAGATTCTGAACCAAAGTGCAAATGACAACCTTTGGTCCCATCCTTCCACTCTGGTTCCGCAGTAAATTTGCATTCAATGGAAACCTACTGAAAACGGGTGAAAATGTTAAGAAATCATGCAATCTACACTGTTACTCTGATAGTCACAATTATTATAATTTCTTTCTGCTCAGTGAGTCACTGCTGACGGGCATACCAGTCAAAAGTATTTGTGACTCTCATTGCAAACATTCACATCCTCAGAACACTTTTAAGTATTAACTTAGTTAAATCATGTCTAAATTCATGGAACAAATATGTTTGCTTATGTGTTTTGCTTGTTTTTCCTTTATCCCATTATGCAAACATCCTCTTGCAGAGCTCTAATACAAACATAGTAGATACGACTCAAAAAATACCCTCCTAAATTTAGGTTTGAACTCAACACACAAGCTTATCTTCTTATAAATCTATGTCTCCTTCCATTTTCATTCGGCTTATCCTGGTGTTGGTTACAGTGGCGGCATGACAAGAGGCAGAACCAGGCAACTTTATCCTCACCTACAGATTTCCACTTTCCAAAATAAAGAAGTGTCCCACTCGTGTGTCCCGTTTTGGCTACAAGGTTTCTGCCAAGTGTGACTGGCCCGAAAGAATTTGGGTGGGATTATCCTGGAGGTTAGGCCCGGCTCAACTGGCTCATTTTAGTCTAGAGAAGCGTCTATCTGAAACAGCTAAATTATTCAGCGTGTCTTAAGAGAAAAAGGCCACCAACAGCCCTGTAAAGATACCTCATGTACCGTGAATCTGTCCTTTCAGAAGTTACTATTACAATTTGGATCAAATTGTATACTGAGACCTTCAGCTGAGAACTGCAAGCCCTTTTCATCCTGAAACACTAACAACACCGCACCTATCCACTGGCCAAACGTACACTCCCAAGTGCCATTGCACAAGAACCCACTAAGGACAGCTGCTCCTCCCTCACCTCAGAAAAACAATCCACTTTTTTTTCCCGGGAGAGAACATGACATCTATTTGGAGAAGATTCTCATCATCCCCGATACTTCAAACTTCTGTAAGGTGAGGTACATAAAGAACAAGACTTCAATGTTGTCCATCTCAGAGTGAGTGTGGGTAAGCAATCCACAAGCTGAACCCAAGCCTGGCTTGTTTCGAGAAAAATCTGAATGAGATCCTCACATCCATTATAGCAGCTACTAACAACCAAATGGGCTAGATGTGCCAAATGGCCTCTAATTTATAACCTTTCTTTTGTTCTGAGGAATCTTGCCCAAGCCTGCTGCCTTACTAGTATGAAGACAGTTTATCACTGTAGTGATCTTACTGAATACTTCTAGGCCAGCCTCCTCATAGGAAGGCACCTTGATTGGTTTGAGGAGTTCCTCACAGTATTTTCTCGTATTTCTTTATTAACTTCAGTATTTACCAACTTTGACAACACAGGAAATGTTTTTTTGACCCATTATAAGGCACTGAATGAACACAGCCCTGGGGACATCTCACCATTTACAGGCACTGCTTGGAAGACCTCCTTCTTTGCCTTGATAGATTCTCTTCCTCCAATGTCCGCTACAACACAATACAAGGCCACAACACAGTGGGAAAGAAACCACCCTCAATACAGACGTTTGGTTCCAGAGTCAAAGTTATGGTTTGGAAGTGAGTCTGAATATTTCTAATTGTTACCTTCCTCCCGGGCCCTCAACCTTTGGGGTAACCTTCCTGAACCCTTCCCTCCAAAAATGAGGAACTCCATACCCAATGGTCAGTCTCCATTGCCATGACTTGGTCATAATCCACCCTCTTGCTGCCACACTGCCCTTGTCCTGAGGCTCAGCCTTTGTCTTATGGGTAGTAAACCCACAGTCTTGCTGCATGGAGCCGTGTTTTGCTCTCAGTCCCTGACAGGCTACGTGGGTAATCCGTTGAGCTAAGGTGGCGAATACCTGATCAGACCACATAGCTATGAGGTTCATTGGACTATGCAAGTCACTCCACCACTGCGAGGTAATAATTCTCAGAAGAGCTTCCTCTTAGTATGTGAGGAAGTAGCCCAGACCACTGAGCTGTTTTATGATATTCTAAAAACAACAGGTTTACAGAATGGGTTAAGACTGGGTTTATAGCTCATTCCATAATGCTTATTCTCAGAAACTCTAAGACACAAATGGATCATTTAGACAGTCCCAGGAATATGGAAATTCCATCTGTAAATAGATTTTACTATACAGTATATAGCTGTTTATGTCACTTACCAAGTTCTGCACTGTTGTAATCAGCTATTACCCATGGAAAGACAGGATACTGTGAAAGATCATTGCAGCTCCTATCTGCCAGATTGTTGAGGTGTAAGAGGTACTGGTAATTGCTGATATGTCCTCTCTGCCACTGTAGCATGTAGCTCTCGGCAGTGTGTTCCACCATGTGGTTTTCTGGTGAGATAATGTTCAGTCATGTAACAATGTGATAAAGCAGGTATTTTGACAAATGTTGTATATAGTACCTACAGGAGCTACACTCAAGACTTACTGTAGCTTGCAAAAGTATATTCCATGCAAAATTAGATTTTTTAAAAATGAATTGAAAACAGAAACCTTTTCTTTACATAAAGGGCTGTGAGGATCTAGAACAAACTACCATGCAATAGTTTTAAGACAACTCCCCAACATCTTTCAAGATGAGATAAGTATATCATTATTAAGCAAAGTGAATTTGTCCTTATTTAACATTCACAATACAAATCAGAATTCATTTAAAATGACATACCACCCCTGCAAAAAGTACTGTATACAGTACACAGTTACAGACGTTTTCACTGGACCACACATGAACTGACCTAGAAAAGTAGCAATGTAGTAGTAAAGTTCGTCTCTCTCACTGGTTTTATAAAACTTCAAATATATGTCTGAACAGAGATCATTTTCAGTGCAAAAGACTTCAAGTCCCTGAAAAGAAAAAGAGGAAACGTATTAAAAAAGAAAACAGACACGAGAAAGCAAAAACAAGCAGCATGCATTTAGGTCTGTAAGTACTGTGATAAATGATACTCTGATTTTGGCTAACAATTTAGTGTTGTTAATCCCAAAATTTGAAAGACTTTTACTGTACTGTACATACAATAGTTCTAGTGACCTTGTCTCCATAACAATAGATCGATCACTGCCACCCAGTGTAGAATGCCTAAATATAGCGTTGCTGCCTCACAGCACTGCAGCTTTGAGTTCAATTCCCAGGGTGCAATCTGTATGTGTGGAGTTTGTATGTCCTCCCTGTGTCTGTCTGGGTTTCCTCCAGGTGCTCTAGTTTCCAGCCACAGTCCAAAGACACACGAAAGTAGGTTATGTGGCTTCTAGGGAAACTGGCTCTGGAGTGAGTGTGAGCGTGTTTGTGTCTTCCTGCAGTGGAATGGTGTCCTGTCTAGGGTGTATCCATCCTCGCAGCCATTGCTTGCTGGGATGGGCTCTGGCTCGCTCACAATTCTATATTGGATAAAGCGGATAGAAAATGGCTGGATGTCTTAATATATACAACACATAAAACATAATGCTGTTGTTATAGGTATACAAAGGCATATTGCTGTGCCCAGTTCTCCATCCATTTGCTTCTATACAAAATATAGAGACAGTGAGAGGTTTATTCAAATTGGGCCCAGATTAACTCAAAGCTCCACCTAGCAATCACAAATTACAAATCAGTGACTGATGGAAAGTTTCCACGGAGCTGAAAAAAGAAGCATTAAGCAAAATGCAAAGGGTTTGAAGAAACTGATTGCCTTGCTACTTTCTGTGAAATGGATATTTAAAATTAATTAGTTTCTGCGAGAAATAGGCATCACTCCAGATTAAGATACAAACATATGGTAATTCACACAGCAACCAAATTGTAATTATTTCTGACATATCCACTGAACGATTCTGAATGCAACATGATGGTTCCACAAAAGCAATCTGATGGAAATGTATCTGCATGCAACATCAATCAATATACAGTAGATGCTTCCCAGTTACAGCAAAACTATACACTGATGTTTAGTCAGATTTAATGCAGACTGTATCTACACTCACCAATGGTCTCAGACCATGTCTTCTCTTGTAGATGCGCCTCACACTGTGAAGCTTAATTTGTACCACAGGTTCCTAAAGGTAAACATGGCAACATTTAATATAGTTCAGGTGGGTATCTGCATCAGCATGCGTAGTCTGCAAAGGAACAAGTAATAGGTTTATTCCATGCTGAAAAGAGAAGAGTGAAAACACAACATTTCGGCTATGAAGCCAAAGGGCAAAGGCTTCACAGCCAAAACGTTGTGTTTTCTCTCTTCTTTTTTTCAACATGGAATAAACCTAACATTTAATATACATGTATTTCAAGACACCGAAGGGCCAGAAGTGTCCATTCACAATTAAATACAATGCTTCAGGCAAACCTAAACCGATGTGTATACATTTATAAGTGCTTAAACAATTAACAGCCAAAATCTTAACAAATGGAAATTGAGAAAAAGTGGTCTTTAAACAAGCTTAAATAGTTGACATTAAGAGAATATAATGTTACAAACAAGTGAAAGTCATTTGGCCCATTTAGGTCATTTAATTGTAAAAAAATATTTTGTCTGGTAAAATAAGCCAATCCTGTTTTTTTTATTTTATTTTGAGTCACGTTTATTATAGTTTATTTCCTTAGTCTGTACTGATTGCTATGTTTTAATTTAGCATCCATCCCACTGAAACACTAGACTTCCTTTCTACTTGAAGATTTTTTTTATTTTTAGAAATGCAGTAACATCATATACAGTAAATGCTACCCACACACACTACAGATCATACATTTTGATCTTTAAGCAATACACGGTTTTCAATTTAGGAGATCAAAGGGATTTTTATAACTTATTTTAAATCCCTGACAACGATTGCATTTATTTCATCATTGAATGCATCTTCACTGGCATGAACAGATATTCTCCACTTTAAAAAAATCATAAGAGTATAAGACAGGAGACACAGTAGCATTGCAATTAGTGCTGCTGCCTCACAGCAGCTCCTCAAGTCTTAGGTCCTGGGGTTTAATCCTGGACTGACACCTTGTCTCTGGAGTTTGCATGTTCTCTCACATTCAGGTGAATGGCACAGCTGCCTAGTACCCTGTGCTTCTGTGATAGGCTCTGAGTACACTCTCACCAGGGATACGGCTTTTTGCTAGTAAGGTACTGTAATTAATAACCCCACTGGGCAGAATTTTTAATTGCATTATCGGAAAATATTTCCATCAAGGATTCTTCAGAAACCAAAGAATTAACTTTGGAAAATATACGATTATGCGAAAGAAACATCTACACTTTCACTATACACTGTTGTTGGTTGCTAAGAAAAAATAATACATTTCTGCAACATTACCCCTTGTTTTTCAATAGTACAAAGATCAATTTCAGCCATCTCTACTATTCATAAAGGTTGGAAAGCTTTTTCAAGGCACTGTATTTTGGGAAAATGTTTTTAATATTACATCAATACCTTTTTTCCTACCATTTTATTGGTACTTTGCAGCAGCATTCGCTAAAAGTACATCTTAATGGTTATTTGTGGCCTCCTAATTTCTTCGTATGAATACCAAAACATCCATGACAAGATGCGAGCCATATGAAATTTCCCATTTAATAACCATAGCAGAATTGGCTCAGTTGTAACGCATAAAACATATTTTCAATTTGACATCTACCCAGAGACAGAATCTGAGTCTTACTGTAATTACATAATGCTTCAGTCACCACAATAAAAGCACTGGCCTGAATAATTAAAGAAGTAACTAGAAAACGCATTTAGCAATTTAACTCCATCCCACAAATGAGTAGTAAAGTCAAAGGCTTGGCTAGGCATACTTTGTCAATTGCCTTCCCAGAACTCTCCTGGATTCCCTTTTCTTTTATACTGAGAAATAACATGAAACCACAGATTAGAGCAAGGAGTCTCCACATCTGAGCCAGTCAAATGCCTCTGTTGTGCAATTTAATTTCCCTATGAACAATTTCAGATTTTCCATTTTAATGTAAATAATGGTTTATAACAAGACAAGAAAAAGTTTAAGAATGATTATATACAAATGAAGGTGTTTTATATAAATTAAGGCTGTCTCGGCCAGGGTGGACCCTTCCCTGCGCCTGTTGCTTGCTGGGATAAGCTCAGGCTCCCCTGTGACCAGGAAGTGCTTACAAAATGGATGGAAGGACAGAACATGACAACTAGCATTGTGAATGGCCCCTTTATAACTGAGACTGGTCTATTTACAAAAAGGCTATAGTCCATCTGTTCTTGTGCATAAAAAAATCTTTTATCGTTTTTTTCAGCACAAGAAAATGACTCACTGGATAACCGCAGAGTGGCTGAAAGTAGAGGTTTTCATCAGTTATACACACGTGTCCTGGGTTGGTCACTAGCGGATTCACCATTTCAGCCTCGCATTCCATGTGAGGCTTCTCAGAAACACTCTGAAAGCTTAAGACAAAAGGACAAGAAAAAATGACTTTTTTAGAAGTATTTTATACAAATTAAGGTGTGTTTCCTCTAATGTTTCCTCAAAAGTTTCCTTTTTTATTCTGAGTCTAATGATATAACAATTTAACGTTTTTAATTTAATAGCACTAAAATACTCAGTATTTTGTTTCAAGATGAGTTTATGTGCACTCTTTTCCAAACAGGATTAGACTGTTTAAATTTAATCCCTATCATCACTGCTGAAGAGATCAAGCACTCCTTAAACCAGCTAGCTCATCCTTCCTCATGACAAAAGGAATGTATAAAAAACAAAACAATACCTGTTCTTGTCAAAAGATGTTCTAGCTAACCGTGACTGCAGATTGGCAGCAATCTAGAATACAAATAAAATTTATTTTTTCTACAGGAGTAATGAAATAATTTTAAAATGTAGCTATCACTGTTACACAAAACCCCAAAACAATTGAGGTACAAACATTGAAAATCTTCATCTGGTTTTACAGCTTAAAGATATAAAAGTTGAATGTCTCAGGCTATGAACATACTGGTTTAGACTAAACTATAAGGGACCTCATGGGGAATAGGGTCCATGAGCATGAATTAGTCTTATTCTTATTTTCAAATATGTATAATGTTGATGTATGTTTATATATGTGGATTTAAAGGATGAAAAATGGAATAAGTCCTTGTTCTACAAAAATAAGACCATTATCTCATTTATGTCTCAGTGTACAGTACCTTATCCCTTACTTATCTTACTTATCCCACTTTCACTTAATACTCAAAGACAAGGGATGTAAGCCAAAAAAGCATATGCTCAATTAGAAATGTACACTTTACAAAAGCACTTCATTTTATTCTTCCGTAAATAAGCTATACTTGCATTAGCAAAGTCTTTTTTTCTTAATACACCACTGGCTATTTGTCCTACATGAAGACTTTATCTTTATCAAATAGTCTGCTACACAATCTGGTCATGGTATGCTTTCTATAATGCCTTTACTTGTTTGATTGCTGGGCTCCTTCCCAGATGTTCTCCATCCAACTGGTTTTGCACCGTAATCTTTTAGAAATTAAAACTGCATTTCTTCATGTATCTGTTTACCATGTGTTTAAAGCATTTCTTCTAGCCTAATCTGGTGCATTAGCCTTGACTAAGTTGTAAGAAGATTACCTTCTTTTGAGAGCACAAAATATGATATCGGTATGACATGGCTAACCAAACAGAGCTGATGGCAATTAATCATACGGTAGCTTCAAAGCTTGCAGCGCCTGCTTAGCAGAGAACACTTATGTGGTATCCTCCATATCCTCTCACTTGATACGTAAAATCTTCCTTTGCAGATACAACATCAGCACTTTAAGTGCCTCTTGTATGTTGTCTGTGTTTCAGCCCTGTGAAGTAGGAACAATGATGCAATGTAGACTGTCTCGGATTGGTTTCAGAGTTGATGTTGCAAATCTCAAAAACCTGCTTCCTCACTTGGGGTATTTGCACTGGGAGCTTGCTGGTGAAGACCTTTGGCCTTTACAATATAAGTGTTCCTGCACACTAAATCCTTAAACTCTTTAAATCTTTAAAGCCTGAATAAAATTGAACTGCTAAGACCCTTACTGGAGTTGAGGCCGTAAAGAGGGATACTTTTGGTTTGAGATTATGGCACATCCATTACTAAGGGATTTCTCTTTGAATATCATGATGAAGACAACACAGGATACTTACACTCTCCATGAGATCTTACTGCTGCATTATACGATTTCAAATAACATCCTTTGATTTGAATCATATACTGTACTTTAAACTATATGTCATGTCATGATACCAGGCTGGGTGACCTATTTACTACACCTGCTGCAATCTGTCACTTTTTGCATCAAAAATATTTTCGTTTTAAATGTAAATGTAGCATCTTATTTTACAGTACTAACACATCAGGATAACCGGCTGGTATGACATGATCTCAATAAGAGCTGTATTATATCTCATAATCATCATAACATTCCGCAAAGACAATGACTCACCATGGCAGTTTGATCTCCCAGCTTGTCAAGACAGGATGCTCTATGCAACTACGAAAGCAAAATATTGGCCATTAACAGAACAAGGAGTGAAACATCTACCAACTCAACACAAAATAATTGTCAAGGTGGCAACAGTTTGAATACATGTGAATACCTTTAGAAAAAGAAAAAAATACTAGAACACAACCTATTGTTTTTCATCCTACCTCTTTTTTTAGAAGTACTACATATAAGCAGTAGTTGTAGCAGAAGTTAAAGAAATTCTCAACACGACTTTACGGACTTGTGATTCCAACAGGACTTTTCCTCATTGTTATAACTACTCTAAATGGAAACTACTACAAGAAATACATACCTGAAGCAACGTTTGCGCCACATCTTCTGTTTTGCTTGAAACTTCAAGTTGAAATATGAAGGCTCTTTCTCCCTAAGTTCACATAAAAAGATATATTTGTAACTGGAGCATTGATTTGCATAGTAGAGTTCTAAACATTAACATTATAACATGAGGTGAATTACCTCTGGGTTACCACAGAGAACAATATGAGAAAAAAATTAACAACATAGTTCCCTGTTATCAAACAACACAGTAAGCTAATCTGCACAAATGTGGCTACAAATGTGCAATTAAACATGCAAGAAAATGTTCTTTGTACCTCTAACTGTTTTCCTCATTTATATCTGCATAAATACAAAACTATAAGAATTTAGAGTGACATAAGATTGTTATGAAAATTCTGGGTCAAAAAATGTTTCCCTTTGAAAGTGACACTAAGTTTAAAAATTAAGTTGTGCTAAATTGATAATTAGGAATAATGAAGAATAATAATTCATATGAAAGAGAAATGGGCACGACAGCATGAGTATTCAGACCTTTTGCTGTGCAAGCATTCATTTTTGTGCACAAAGCTGAGTGACCTCTATCTGTAAGCAATAAAAGCAGTTCATATAATTTCAGAATAAATGTGTGTATCTAAGGCTCCTCAGTCAAGCACTGCATTGGAAGCCAAAATTCAACCATGAAGGTGATTTCAAAACAACTGAGGGATAAAGCTGTATAAAGGTAGCAGGACAAGGGTAAAAAAAACATTTCAAAGACCTTTAATATCTCTTTGAGCACAGTGAAGTCAATCACTGAGAAATGAATAAAACCCAAGCACTGCCTAGATTAGTCTATCCCTTGAAACCAACAGCCAGGCAAGGAGGAAACTGGTTAGAGATGTCACTATGAGGCCAATAACAACTTTCAAAGAGCTACAGAGTTCAGTGACTGAGTTGGGAGAAAATATGAAAGGATGAACAATATTCCTATCTTTCTACAAAGTACACTCGTTTGGAACTGAAAAAAAAAATTAGATCTAACATGAAGTTTGCAAAAAAAGGCCTAGGTCATAATGCATAAAATGTGGCAGGAGGGGTTGTGGTCAGACAAGACAAAATTAAAAGCTTTTTTGTTTAAATGCGTTACATCTACTACAAACCCAAAGTACTGCACCACAAAGTCAGCACAATCCCTATTGCCAAACATGGTGGAGGCAGCATTGTTATAGTTCTATTTGTCATCAGCGCAGACTGGGAAGCTTATCAAGACCAATAGAAACCTAGATGAAGCAAAGTGCTGACGAATCTTAGAACAAAACAGGCTTCAGACCTAAAACTGGAACAAAAAATTCACCTTTGAATTTTTGAATGTCCTACATGTAAGAACATCTAAGTTTTTGATTGGTTTTAAGACAACCCTGAATTGAGCTCCACTGAATCGGTGGAAGGACTTCACAACTGCTGTCCATAGGTGATCCCCAAAAAAACTCGATAGAGCTTCAGCAAATCTCCCAATAAGAATGGGTAAAAAGTGCACCAAACTGGTGTGCAAAGTTTGTAGAGACTCACTCAGAAATTCTTGTGGCTGAATTCAAAGCTCTGAACACTTAATACACCACATTAATGGGCACTGAGACAGACTTAAATAAGATGGGGTGGCACTGTGAATGGGGCTGTATTTAACAGGACAATTTGCACACTTGTGTAAAACTGTTTAAAAGGACAAATAAGAGAAGTTAAAGGAAGATAAAAAGGGAATCAACTGTACTAGAATTAACTGTTGTAAGGAACCTATTAATCAAGTCAAAAGAATCAAAAGAATAAAAAGCTATATTCCTACAATTAACTATATACACTGTTTCAAACTGTATTTGTGTCTAGCATAAATTTATGTTTCCAAAAAACTGTGTCCAAATAAGTACAGTACTGGTCTGTGGTAACAAGTTTTCTTAAAGAGATTGTTTCTAACACTCAGCAGTAGTACTAGAAAAGATCACACTTACTCTTTCAATCTTATAAGGAGCTACAATATTGTCTTCTTTAATGAAGTAAACCTAAAATAAGAAAACATGCTTTAGCTCACAATCAGCATCTTGAAAGAACATTGTTCAAATTAGTCCCATTGCACGCAGTTCAAAACAGTGGTGTGCATCCCGCCAAGAAACATTTTGTGGTGTAACATCATAAAAGGGTACAGCTTCCTATCATTAAAAAGTAACCACACAAAAGTCAAAGTATATTTTTAAGATGTGTTTCTTCTATTCCAAGAAAAAAGCTGTTCTTCTGGTAGGGACAGAAAAAATATTATCTACTGTATATACACTGAGACCATTGAACAGTATTTCCAGAATCATGAAATAGAGGAGACCTGTTTACTGATGTGACAAAAAGGGTTATTTTGCGACTGTGCCACAAATGGAAACACTACTTATATTTTATAGATATACAACAGTTCTAAAAGCAAGTGTATATTTCCAAAACCAGTCTTTATTTTTAAGTGGAAAGTTTTCTTCAGCATGCTCCGGCTTTAAGTGCCTCATGCAGTTAGTATACAGATTATAACATGTATTATAGTTTATAATATATAATATGAGATATAACACTTGTGTATTACACCCAATAAAAAAGCTCAAGGCATAAACCAATTAAATTGTCCACATTATTTCAGAAACTCATTTTAAGAAAAACTATAAAATGCACATACATTTTCAGACTTGCAGATGTTATCTTACCTGTCGGCACACAACAAGTAATCCGCTGAAATTAATTCTGAAAAACAAAAAAATATCGATTGATGTTTCGAAATGATGACAAAGTGCAGCTGAACTAAAAGCATTCACAAGATACTTACTCATTGAAAGGATTTTGAGCACTCTCTTCGATTGCTTCAATTTTGCTACAGTCTCTAAGAGGTATCTAACAAACAAAAAAAAAGATTTTAAAAACTAAGTGGATATCTTTTACACACACCATTTGGAGGAAATGTTAAGCATACTGTACCTTTAAAATAGGTTCAGCTACCGGTTCTGGCTCAAAGATTAGGGATTTTGAACAGATTTTGAGAGATCCTCTAATTGGCCTGGAAACAAATATATTGGACAATAAATTTAACTTTAAAGAAAGAAAAAATGGAAAAGAACTTGTATGAATGATTTTTGAAAGCATTTTTTTTCAATAACTTCATGAAAGGCTTCATCCATTTAGCATGTGAAGTTGATCGTATAGTGTATTAATAATACTTAAGTAAATTAATATTATTGTTGGGAATGCACATCAAAGAGAGAATTCCAGCTTACTGTGCTTAACCTTACGGGGATATTTGTGTATACTGTGTACTACCAGTGACAATAAATTGTAACCATGTTTCTTTGTAATAGAGCTCTACAAGAAAGAAAAATGTAAGGTTTCAAACCACTGACCATCTGTCAAGTATGTGATCCCCTCACTTTTACCACAGCATTGCTCATTTAAACATAACAAGGCCAGCATGCTTATTACCATGTGAAATGCTCTAGAGTTACAGGTCCATTCATAATATAATACAGAAGAGAAAGCTTTTGGCATAGAATACACTGTTCATTTCAATTACCTTTTCTGTGCTGTAATATTGCTAGTCACATGGTGCGCTGAGTGCTGTTCAAAATAATATTCCTCCAGATCAAGTAGTAACAGGGAAAACCTGAGAAGAAAAGCAAAAACAGTTTAAATCAAATATTTCTTGAAAAACTAGTTTATTTCCACCACCGACTGCAGATGATCTGTGTTTATCAGAGGTTCTGGATTCTTCACAAACAAAGTCCATAATAAAGCCGATGATAAAATCTAATAAGGATTTTAAAGATTAGATTATTACTGAAGTCTAAGATGCTCTTTTTCTTGCGCTTAAAATACTGCTGTACTGCAAGTTTAAGAAACAGAGTTACAGTAGGTAAATGTGAGGCACATGAGAAATGTCTGGTGAGGTCTTTGAATTCTCTAGCACAGTTCCAGTGAGGTGGACTCAAACAGTCTATATTATTTATAATTAACAACACAATGTAAGCACAACGGCCTACAGACATAAGATTCTAGAATTCTACCCTTGTAATCTGAAAACAGTATTTACATAAACGGGCATAAGAAAACAAATGAGCATTCAAAAACAGAACTAAGTCTCCCTTCCTTCAATGAAGCCAAAAGAGAATGAGAAGTAATCTCTCTATTCTAAAAATGCAAACCAAACCAAGAGAGAATATTTTTTCAGAGTGAGGATTCCATAATACAGGAAACCAGAACAAGCAGCAATCTCTCGATAACAATGTTCAAATTACATAGCCAGAATCTGGCCTCCAATACCTATTAAAAAAGGTCTTCTCGTCTGGCACATTTTAAAGTAGAGGAGGGTGACAGTGAAGTTACTTCTCTCTGTATCTTCTCCTCTTCTTTCCCATATCTGTATTCATGCTGTGCCCTATTGTTGCTGAATGCTCTAATTACTTGCCATTTAGTTCATTTACCAGAGTAAAACACCAGAAACCCCATTGACCACGTTTACCTGCCTCTTTGGCAGCTAAAGAAACACCTCAGACACCCAAAGCATTTTTGTTTTTTTGAGTAAGGCCTTGAGTAGTGCAATCAGGATGTGAGCTGTAGCTAAACTTGGATAACACTGGGCTACAGCATAATAATATCTTAACCTAGGGAAATTTGGAATTTTGGGACATTGACCTTCAAATGTGCATACAAATGATAATTTAAATATTGTCATAAACCTTAGTCACCACACTGCCAGATTGCAATTTATTTTTTCATACACTAAGGGAGTTGGGTGACCACTCGCAATCAGTGTCACTTTGACTGGAAACAGGGAAGATGTTCTAGTATGAAGATTGTTCTGAAAATTCTTTATACGATTTTCTTCTCATATAAATGAACAGCTTTTGATAATTGTTTCCTTCCTTGGCTGTATTTTGCTGAGAATGTACCGCAAACCCTATCAGTGTGACTGGCAATATGCCTCTGCATATGGCATGCTCCATTAAATTGTGTTGCACTCAGACATTTTCTTCTAGTTTGAAGTGAAGAAAGATTCCTTTACTGAAACTGGAATGATACACACAGAGTGCATATCCACTTACACAGGGTCCCACAGTAACGATCAACGATTAATTTTACTTTTTCACAGCAGACGAATATGAACACAAAACACAATTGGCACCCCTCCCTTGCCCTTAGCTGCCCAAGAGGAAATTGGACAAATGTGGAAGAAGTACAGTACATTTATTAACTAAGAATTAAACACACAATCAGTTGTAAACTGTTATATATATTTACTGATGGAAAAAAGAAACTCAACACCTCCTCCTCCACACTCTGGCCCTCCCGTCTGCGTGGAACAGGCTGAAGAGTGACTCGTCCGTGAGAAGGACCTGATGCCACTGCTGACAAGTCCATCGCAGCCTCTGTCTGGCCCAAGCCAGTCGGGTATGACGTCTAGGAGGTGTGAGCAGAGGGCCTCTGACAGGTCGCCATGCTCTAAGGCCAGCAGCATGGAGCCTCACTGTCCTGTCACTGATGTGGGCATTGTGTCTACCGGCAGTTTCAGCAGCAGTACAGGTGGCAGATCTGAAACGATCTCTCAGATGGGCCAGTCTGATGTGTCGGCCCTGCTCTGGTCTGGTCACTCAAGGGCGACCAGATCTTGGACTGTCATCTGTCCTGCCGGTCTGCTGAAACCTTCACTGCAGTTGGGACACAGTGGAGCGGTTTACACATGATGTCTGGCAAATTGTCTGGCAATTTGAGCCAAATATGGAATGCACAGAAAACTGACTAAGTTTGGCCTTTTTCTTAGGCCTAAGTGACTTTCTTAGGCCTTCTTAGTGACTTAAGCTTAAAACAAATTGAAACGTTTTTGTTAAAGTACATAAGGTAAACCAAAGTATTCTCATTCCAGAAAATATTGCGTTTCTTTTTTCCATCAGTATTTACAATACATCGATTTAAGCCTATTCCATCCCAATTTATACATCAATACAGTAATGAACATTATTTTACAAAGCACTTTTCATTATAAATGATCACAGTATACTAAAAAGAGAAAACAGTTTAATAGAAAGACTCAAGCAAATGGCACCAATATTCTGAAATCATATAATCTACACAAATGCCAAATTAATTAATTAATTAAGAGCGATTAAAGGCATGAATTAAAAACAGAAACTTATTTTAATTACTGATCTCACAGAAAAAGTATGCCAAAGTCTAGGTACAGTAGGTGCACAGCAGGCAAAGGCATTATCACCTGCAGTGTATAGTCCTGTAAATGGGAAAAACAAGAGACCAGAATCAGAGAGTGCAGCTAAGGATGCAATTTATGAAGGCGTCAGAAACATTAGAGGTAATGATCCCCTCCTAATATAAGGGGGGAAGTTAAAATAAAGTATTTGTAAAGATTTTTTTCCACAGTGTGGCAAGTATGCCATTGTAGCAGCTGGATCTGAGTGAAACAAAATCGTGGACTTCCGCATCAGGCATCGACACAACAGGACTAAAATGAGCAAAATTCCTAAGGCAGAGGAAAGATATCTGACTGATATGCTGGGCAAACAGCAGATCAAAAGTTCGAAGGGTCATAGAAGTCATCAACATTTTCAGTTAAACACACAGCTCCATAAATAGACATGCTTAGACAATCAGAGTTTTGCAGCTGATGCAGAGAGCTTAGTAACTGAGATCACATTACATCATGGATCAGCTGCAAAAAATACTTAAGGATTTAAGGTTAATTCTTGTGGAACAATAAAAGAAAACAAATCTGTATTTGTAACGAACGCCTGACAAATTCACATACATTCAATATACACCTAACTAGAAATCCGTACCTTATGTACAGTACAACTACAAAATATTGAAATCAAGAGTACTTAGGCTACTATTAGGTTGTCATTTATTCCAGGGCTACAGCATTATTTCGAAATGTTAAACAAAACTTATTAACCTTTAAACTCTTAAAAATGAGTCACTGTTTTTAAGACAAGTAACACACACACAAATACTGATTAAATAAAATTCAATATCTGCCATCATAATGTCATTGTTTACAACTGTCCTTTCTACAGCTTAGCACATTTTAATGTCTAGATTTCTGTAGACTTTTAAGTGTAAGAACATTTTAAAAATTACCATAGTTTGTGTATTGCGGTGCAAACACAGAATCTTAAGATGCAACAGACACATTTTAGATTCAGTGTCATGTTACAGTACATGAATTTAGGAATGACATATTTGACTATAGTGTTTGAATAAGAAAGGAAAGCAAAGCTGAAAAGCGTTTAAGACTACACCAAGGAAATTGCAGGTGCTGTAACATCTGTCACAAAATTTGAAAACAAAAGTCAAATTAAAAACATGAAAAACGTGTTCCCATCATTCGAGATGACATGGTGCAAAAACAATCACCTTATACGTACACAAAACTACACAAAACAGCATACCAATTAATTGAGAAGCTGGAAATCGATTTCTTGTAAGTATACAGACGAGAAAAAATAACAATTTCATAAAAATGGGAAAGAAAATAGAATTATACAGTTATAACTGTAAGAAAACTGTTTAACTAGCCTCTGATTTCTTAATAAAACACCGAATCAACCATTAAAAACCTATACGCAATTTAAAATAATCTGAGATCAAACTAAACATTTTAGAGTCTGTGCAAAATTATAATTAAATCAAAAGCTGGACTGATACCTCATCTCATCTCAGTCATGCTATACTTGCTCAGTGACCTCAAGACCGAGAAACTATTGTTTAAGTACTGTAAGCATCTGTGACCGGACTTAACGCGTTTCTTGGAAGCTTGCCGGAATGAAATCAATGTGTAGTGTAAAAAAGGCGAACATTTTCTGAAAATAAGACACACATAGAGCAAACGCGAAATAGTATCAGTGGCCTAGTTCAAGCTCACAAATCCAGGAGGCTCGGTTAATATACGTCTGAAGTAAAAGCGCTCTGAACAGGAAGCTCTGACAAGACGCTGCCGGTCTGTACATCAAAACATGCGAGGAGAACGATGTATTTCTACAATGTTATTTATTCAGCCACTTCATATATTCTGTCAGGTGCAGCGGGTTAAATGTTTTCCAGCTCACTTTCATGATAAAATCACAAACCTTTCTTTGGATCGTTCTTTCTTCTGTATAAAAGCCATTGCATACACCCCGTGGCATTTGTGAGTCAAACACAGGATGTGCAGGGTAAACAAGGAAACTGACAGCGAAACCCAGTAGCAGCTTAGGGTGGGCAATACGTCTGCAATACCAGTTAAAAAGACAACGTACACAGAGCAGGAAATATCGGACCTATATCCGTGTCACTATTTTACAGAAGCCTTCATACAAATCACTGATTCAGATGGTTTCTAAGTACTTTGAGGTTTTGAGGATCCCATTATTGTTTTGTTGTGTTTTGAAGTGCTTTTTAGTACTTCCTCTTGTAGGTTACATATCAATGTTCACCTTAAAGTAGACATACTGTAGGCTAACATTATTGGTAATTTCCTGCTCCAGGCGTAAAGTTACAGAAAATGAAGGTATCTGCATGAAAATTTAGAATCTCATGTAAATAAAATAAATCCTTATGAATTAATGCAAATGCTCCAAAGGATTCCATAAGAAATCTTACAAGGGAACCTACTGTACAATTCAAGAACTAAGGAGTGCCTTAAGATGTCCTGCAGGACTATGAGGGGACATCATTCAAATATTCAAAATCCTCAAATAAATGGACATAGTCAACCCAGTGAACTTCTTCAAAATGAACAGTGAAACACAAACCAGTGAACACAATTAGCTTCTAACTATCAAAAAGGCAGGTGGGCCACATTTGTAATCTGTCTTAGGTTCTTGAATATCAAGTTGAATATATTAAGTATATATTTTTATTTTATAATGTGACAGAATGCAGGAAATGTTGAAGAGAAATGGAAAGAGCAAAGAACCCTTACCTTCTAGTGGCACAAAATTACAAACTAACTAAACTTACGGCAGCCCAGTGGCGCACTGGTTATCTGCTGCCTGTGCTATCTGTGTGGAGTGTGTGTTCTCTCCATGTGTGCATGGATGTCCTGCAGGTACTCCTGTTGTTTCCCACAGTCCAAACACATGCTGATAGGTTTCTGGGAGAAGTGCCTGTGTTTGTGTTTGAATGTGTCCTGCGATGGACTGGAGTACTGTCCAGGATGTATCATGCTTTGTGCCTGTTGCTTGCTGGGATAGGTTCCGGTCCCCCTTTAACTCTGGATTGGATGAAGTGGTTAGAAAATGGACAGGTAAACTAAACTTTCATTAATGTACGTTGTCTATCTGTAATAAAGCATAAATCCAATGAAGCCCGTGGAGCAAAAGCTGTAACCACTTTAGGAAGTAATTTGTTGATTTCATGATTTGTTGTGATCCGGGTAATAAAGGTTTGGACAAAAATCTTTATTATAAATCTGCTAAATCTTATGATTTGTGCATTTCATTTTTGTGCATTTGGGACAGACACATGTTAAACAATTTATTTACCGGGCATATTGATTAATAGAACATAGTAAAATAATCCTTTAAAAAATTGTGTTGCAATTTAAATACAGTAATAGTAAACATTTAATAAAGACTCTGTATTTCAGCTAACTGAATACTTCAGTGTTCACATACTGTACGTCTATGAGAATACCTTAAATCATAATAAAGTTGAACAAGATGATACGTTATGTAAAAGAATTGCAGAATATAAAATAAAATACTGAAAATATAAAATTTGCAGAAGGTTCCACTTTATTTCTCTTTCCACATCGAGGTGTAATTCATGAAATTCATGAATTATGTAAAGCGTGAAAACGTATGTATTTTGGTTTGCATAAGACAGCTTGTCACCAATTTGAATAAATAAAAAATAATAACGTTCTTTATTTGGTGTATCGATCACTTGCAGAAAAATAATCAACTAATATGTTTTGTTTTGTGTTGTTTTAAACAAATGCAATTTAATTTGTAACAAGATCAAACAAAATTGATTGATTACTACAGTCTGACCTTAGAAAGTAGAGTAGATTTTCTGTGCTTTACCATGAGTGAAATCAAGAAAATACAATAATACAATAAAATACTCACAGACTTGTACTCATGAGAGTTCTAGCCATACAAAGAGCAGAAGGAAAGAAATGCTTTGATGTCACAATACTGTCTCTTAAGCCAAACATACAGTATATTGTATTCGCAAGTAAAAAACATGAACAAGCTTCTGTAAGATTGGAAAAGTTAAAAATGAGTTTTAAAGCTTTCTTTGACACTTTTTCCTGACTGTTATGCACCTGTATGCCTGACAGTCACTCAGTTTGTGCACTATGTGTAGTTAACATTTTCAGTCTGTTGCAGGCTTACACTTATACCTGTATTTCTGAAACTATAAATTATGGATTATAATAGATTGAACTCTCCGTTTATGTGACAATCAGATGTGCTCCGGTCTGAGTGCAAATTTTTGTTAGAACTGGTTCTTAAAGAAAGCACTGATGATTATTTCACATAGCTGTAATTACAGAAAATCTCTCTTTCCACCAAGTTAAATTGGAAAAAAGGGCATTAAACCGTAAAGTCCATGGGCCTCCATTTGGTGAACTCTCAGTTAATTAAGATTGAAGAGGCTTACATTGACTGTAATTCTGTATAATTAATTTAAAAGTCATGATTATATTTACATGTCATGATAAACCTGATTTGAGTAGTATACTGAAAACAGCAAAAAACATATATAATCAATGTAAGGTAATAGGTAATCAATGTAAGGGGAGATTATATAGCAGACTATATTAAGTGCTATAATTTGAAAACGTCACATTTCAAAACCTAAATATGTCCACGATTTCCATCTGTTAGCATTTCCTATTTAGAAATTTGCTTATGGAGTATCATTGCTCATATTTTAATGCTTCATTTTCACTAGTTCCTTTTTCTTAATCTAAGCCAATCACAGTCTATACTGTACTACCTTTCTTGCTCTATTTTTCATTCAGCTTTATTTAGCAAAAAAGGGTTTAATTAAAATTGCATGCAGGGTCTCGTTTCAAACACACATACCTGTATTAACAAGAAAAACTCATCAACAACAGTGTTTAACAGCCTTCTGCCTTCGACTAAAGTGTTGTATAATTATGAATCAGCTGTTCTTAACAAATTCACACCAGGTGGCAGCAGCAGTTTACATTTGAGAAAAAGTAAAGATCACACTTTTGCCATCAGGTATGAATATAAAAGACGGCAAAATTAAGTCTTAGAAACTTTGTATGAATGTTTTCTTTCAGTAAAATCTTTTTTGCTTTAATGGCAAGGATTGTGTCGCATTCAAAATGAAAAAATTATCATTGTCCCATTTGCAGTATGCCCATTGTGGGACTTTTTATTAGCCATATACAATTTCTTGCATTAGGAATTTGTCTTTTCGCATATTCCAGCTTGTTCTTCATGAGACACAGACACACAGACAAGGAGAGAAGCTTGGGGTCACAGCGCAGGGTCAGCCATTGTACAGCACACCCGGAGCAGTTGGGGTTAAGGGCCTTGCTTAGGTGCCCAACAGAGTAGGATTCCTCTGCCTGCCGCGGGATATGGGAAAGAGACGGAGCGCCCTTAAGAAAAGGGATTACAATCATGACACTTTTGTGCTTTTTCTAAAAGTATTCTTAAATATATCATGATTTATCAGAGATGTGTTTATAACTTCCAGGCTACCCTTAGATACCATACTTGGCGTCTGAAGTTTGGAAATTATGAGATACAAATGATTTTCTCTCTCAGAACCATACTGTGTCATTTTAAATTAACTGAATGCCGTGAGATATTATGGTTGTACATACCGGTAGGAACAGATTTCTGTTGATGAACAGTGTGATTCTATAAGAACCATTACAAAATTAAATGACGACAGACGCCCACAACCCACAGCTTTGTTTCTCTGCAAAGGGAGGAATAAAAAGTTAAAATGTGCCTTCAGTTCTCTGGTTTATATGCACTTTGTCATAGGTTCTGATTTACAGTATGCTTCAAGATTGAATCTGAAGAAGTCCATTAGGCTGACATAGTCAATAGTTTGAGGTTTTGAACACTTAAATCAGGTCTCATTGAATCTTCTCTGTTCAAGACTAAAAAGACTAAATTCTCAGAGCAGGTCATTCTTTTAAGCCTGGAAATGCATCTTGTAACTAATTTCTGTGCTGCATCTGGAGCAGCAGTAGCAGCGGAGCGGTAGCACTGTGGCTAAGGATCTGTGCATGTGGCTGGAAGGTTGCCGGTTCAAATCCTACAGCTGGCAGAGGAATCCTACTCTGTTGGGCCCCTGAGCAAGACCCTTAACCCGACTGCTCCAGGGGTGCGGTACAATCACTGACCCTGTGCTCTGACCCCAAGCTTCTCTCCCTGCCTGTGTCTCACAGAGATGAATTCCTAATGCAAGAAATTGTATATGGCTAATAAAGTGATCTTATGTTATCTTATCTATTTTGTAATAGGATCAAGATCAATCGAATCTTGAGTTTTTTCAAAATCATTTTGACTTTCCTTTGCCTATTCTATAGTGTTGGCTAATCCTCCTATTATGGTATCATCTGTGAACTTGACCAATTTACTAAATGTTGTAGAATTTAGATAACTGATATACTCTAAATTAGGGGGGGCAGTGGTAATCATAGAGACCTCTTAATATAATCTATTTTATTAGGTTCTCTAGTTACCTAAAATGTGTCTCCAGACACATTTATTTCCCTGAATCTGTACTATCTGTATGCTAGTTTTCTCTATTCACTCACAAAATGATTTAAAAAGACACTTCCTACAGTACAGTTTGTGTATTACATATTTGTTATTCAATCCAGTTACTGTTGCACACATTTACATTAGCATAAGAAAGGAAACAAATAAGAAGAGGACGTTCAGTCCATCTAACCCATTTATAGTAGTAGTTAGTTGCTAAATGATCCAACCATTTCTTGAAAGAAGCCAGGGTATCGGCTTGTACTTAACAGTATGCAGTTTCCACTTGTATGTCCTCTGTTTTAGGATTTATTTTTTTTATTTTGAAAAAGTCTACTACTGTAGGTTGACACCTGCAATATGGCGTTTTGTGAACTTTATGTTTTGAAATTAGAAGGAATGTGCTGTGATATGTGCCATTAGTGAACTATGAAATGAAATATACTGGGTATAGAAATCACCACCCCTTTCAAAATGTGTAAAGTACCTTTTGTTGTATTCTGAGAATAAAAACAAATTAAATTAGGGTTGTTCCATTTGTATTTACACACAGTAACCCACATTAGCCAAGTGAACATAAAATTCTAAAACATTCTGAAAATTAATTAATATTACAACAGTAAAATACCTTATTTGGATAAGTGAACACCCCCCTTACAATTGCATTTGTAAACTTTCTCAGGTATAACCAATCACCTTACACATCACACAACAAACTAATTGGCTCCCACCTGTGATCAACTGTGGTGATTTTGATAAGTTCCGAATAAAAGCAGCTGTTTCTAAAGGATTCCACTGCTTGGAAGTGCATTTCAAAGCAAAGAATCCACTATGGGAGGAAAGGTGCTTTCAAAAGAACTTCAAGATAGTTGTTGAAAGGCACAAGTCAGGAGATGGGTATAAAAAGATTTCAAAGGCTTTCCGTATCCCATGGAGCACAGTCAAGACCATCATTAAGAAGTGGAAGACGTATGGCACCCAGACCTTGCCTTGATCAGGCTGTCCCTACAAACTGGATGACCGAGCAAGAAGGAGACTGAAAAGAGAAGCTATCAAGAGGCCAATGGCAATTAAAGGCCTGATGCTTGTTCTATGGCAAAAACTGGTCATTGTGTGCATGTGACAAAATATCACAAGCGCTCCAAAAATCTGGTCTGTATGGGAGGGTGCGAAGAAAAACGCCAATCCTTAAAAGCCACATCAATTTTGTTTATGTTTTGCTAAAAAGCATCTTAAAGGTGCTGTGGTCAGATGAGTCCAAAATCGAACTTTTTGGCTGGAAGGCAAAATGGTACATCTGGCGGAAACCCAACACATCTTACCATCCAAAGAACACCATTCCTACAGTAAAGCATGGTGGTGGCAGCATCCTGTTGTAAGGGTGTTTCTCTTCAGCTGGGGCTGCGGCACTTGTCAGGATGGAAGGGAAGATGGAAGGTGCAAAATACAGGCAAATTCTTGAAGAAAACCTGCAGCCCTCGGCCGGGAAGATGGTTCACCTTTCAACATGATAATGACCCAAAGCACACCGCCAAAGCAACTGTATAGTGGCCGAAGGACAGGACGGTGAATGCCTAGTCAGAGCTCCATCCTAAATCCCATCGAAAATCTTGGAATGACTTGAAGAGTCCATCAACTGTCACCACGCAGTTTGTCTGAGCTTGACCAATTCTGTAAGGAGGAATGGGCAAATATTCCTCCCTCTAGGTGTGCAAAGTTGGTATGTATCCAAACAGACTCAAGGCTGTAATTCAAGCAAAAAGTGCTTCCACCAAGTATTAACTCAGGGGGGTATTCTCTTATCCAACCCAGTTATTCTACTTTTTTTCAGAAGTTTTGCATTCTTTTTTCACTTGGGTGTTGCAAGGTACAATTTGTAAATAAAACGGGAAAAAGTCTGATTTTATTTGTCTTTTTTGGGGCTTTAGGGCAACAAAAGGTGAACATTTTAAAAGGGGGTGGTGACTATACCCACTGTATATAACAGAATTATGTCATTTTCTGAATCCAGCAGTATAAGCACAGAAAAAAGCATTGTAATGAGGGTAGGAATTAAATAATTTTTGTGGTATATTTTAAGGAAGTGTGACCTGAGTAATTAGTTGATTATTGTTTGAGTTGTTCACATTGTCCCCACCCTGTCTCCTTGGTGATAAATCTTCAACAGACTATGAAGGACTTTGCACCCCTCACTGAAATATGACATATTGACTCAATTACAAAACCCTTGTTGAAAACAATGCTGTGTCTATTACTGACAGTCAACATAAGCATTTGAGAAAGCGAGCATTTTCCACAATGAAATAATAATTGGAGGACAAAAAGCCAAGGAAATTATATGGCAGTTTCTGGGAGATGTTCAGTTCTTCGCTATCCATTATCATTTGCTCTCAGCAATTTTCTCTTTAACAAATATTTTAATTTCATGCTTTTTTAAAGTTTCCATGTTGCTGTTATATGAAGATTAGCAGAATGCAAATGCACTTCCAGTTTGTGTTGTTTTGAATTGCACTATTTTGCTTACAGGGAATATTGAGGGAACAAGCAACATGAACCACAAGGTGGTTTCTCTAATGAAAGCTACATAAAAGTTTGGCTATACAGTAAGTTAAATTTCTTGAATAATTCAGGGATAATCCATATCTGTAGACTCATTCTATGTGTTGTGGAGCCATGTCCCACTTTTCCTTAGTTATAATTTTATATGCTTATTTTCTTTTCATAGATCTTTTCCTGTCAGTTAAGACTATATGTTAATTGTTAAATCAATTTAAATTATCAGTGCACTGCACTACTCTTTTTCCACAATTCTATTGATCCAAGAAATCTGCAGCACCTAAAAAAACTAAAAGAATGCAAAGTATTTAAACTGCAAAACATACTGTACCTTTTGTAACTAAGTGGGAGGTAAATCAATACATTCCATGGTCTGTTTCTCTTTACTTTTGCATCATTACAGCTAACTTTCCATGCCATTAACTTGTAGAATATGTATATAATTTAGACTGGTCAGTTTGGAATGGCAACTTCTATATTTATGCACTTGATATATACTTTTTAAATCAACAAAGTCATTGTGCCTTTTAATGTATAATATATATATATAGGAAATTATATGTTATTTGCTTTTTAAAGCATTTAACATTTTACAGTAAAGGGTAATCAATATAAAGGGAAATTATATGTTGCAATATTCAAGATGTAAAGGAACACCACAAGGATCTGTGTTTTAAAAGCCAGCATTTTTCCAATTCTTCAAGTTTTTGGAGATCCCTGTATTGCAGTGAAGAATTCATGATTGGTTCATCTTTCACTGGTACATAGAAGACAAATTAAATAGTATCAATTTACATTGTACTTCTGACAGCTAATAAAAAGTAGAGACAACTTGTCTTAATGACATTTTTCTCACTAAACCATATAATTAATCTCTTAAATTCTTTTACTCCCTGGAAATACATTTTGAATAGATTTTAAATTTTCTTATGATGACTTAGCATCAGTAGATGACCATTCCTCAAAATGAAAACTACTGTACAAGCTGATATTATCTATAAGGCTGGAAAGTTTTGTTCTTGGGGAACATGAATGCTTCAGTGGTTTTTAATAATGAGAATTTTGTCCAAAGCATCAATAATAGCTTTGTAATGCTGAAGTCTGCTCCAGAAAACCACCCATCCAGGCACACAAGGGTCCATAAATTGATCTCTAGGATGAGAACTATAAGAAATAAACAAATAGGTGCAGCACTGGAAGAACTTTGGAATTACCAGTGTTAACAAAAACTGGTACAGCTTCTAGATCAGTTGTGTCAAACATAATTCAACTGTTGCCTGGGCAAGCCAGAAGTGATTTAAATGTACTTCAAGCAGACGATACACACCATAAATTATTGAAATAAGAGGCACAACCATTATATACTGTTCCTTGTAAGTGTTTTTCAGCAATAACTCTCTTTAAAATTAAAGTAGCAATCAATGTATCTAGAAGGAACAGGTAAAGGTTTATTTCATGCTTTCAGCATGGAATAAACCTTCATCTATTCTCTTGCAGCCTATATCCCTTGCATGCTGATGCAGCTACTGTACGTACTTGAACTTCTTATTTGTATCTAAATGTCAGTTTAGCAAAATGTAATCATTACCCATATTTTAAATATCATAGCGGTGATTACTGTACACTGTGTGAATCTGTTCTGTTCAATAGAATTTTGATGGCACATCTCATTCAGCAACTAACAAAAATAAATGAGCAAATATATGTATCCACCATTCTGAAATTATCAGGTGGAACTGTACACACAGATCTCAAAGTGTCCATTTTTTCCCTCCATTTTTGTGCAGATCTGTGACATCATGAAACAGGGGCACTGCTTTTGGATAGAAGCAGAGAACCACAGGAGTGCTGCATATCCAAGACAGATACAGCAACATCACTAAGGCAATAGCAGTAAATTATCACAACCCAAAGCATGATCTTTTTTTCGTACTACAAACCACACATGCTAGGTGGGTCAAATGGTCCCCATCATTTGAAAACATTGTGTTGCGGTATGATGTGTTGCGGTATGATGTTCTTCTCATGTTTCATAATAATAAATGAAATACAAACAAAAATGTATTTCAACATATTTAATTCAATGGACTGACATTCCATCTAGGATGTACCCAGCTTTGCTCCAGTTGCTTGCTGGGAAATGCAGCTCTGAATTGAAAGAAGTGGCTAGAAAATGGATGGATCTATTTCAAGCTGCTATTAAAAACAATTCTTTGGGAACAGTAATAATTTTTACAGTGTCTATCACAACAATAACCTACTGCTTCTACACTCAGTGTTCTGCGTTTAGGTTTTTCAGAGGATAATGAGGCTGATTTCACTCCAACATGCTGTACTTTGTTTAGACGACCAACTTCTGTTCAGTTACTGTACATCACTCACACATGTTTATCCTATTGCAAAAACACCAGTTTTGAATACTTGCATGAAACACCAGATGGCAGTAAAACTTAATGTTTCATAAGCAACATGCTCAGTACAGAGAAATTATGGATTCCTTGTAGCAATTGTGCATCTTTCTTTCTCATGTACTGTAATTTAACAATAAGACAAAATTGATTATATTAAAATCAGCATCCCTGTTACATCTTACAACTGTCATAATTGGTCAAAGGTCTGTACGAATGTAAACGAAGGAAAGGAAGAAAACAACTATCTGAAAGCCACACATTTCTGGTAATTTTATGTTTGAGATTTTATGGATTTAAAACTATTGTATTTGCACATCACTACCCAGTAGTATACTTGCATATTTTCTTTAAAAAGTGACAAACTTTTCAGGAGGATAGTATTTTAAATTCTCTACCTGATCTGTTTCACTGTGGGGCTGCTCGTGCATAATGGCAGCAGCTCATCACTCGGGTGTTTGTGTTGCATTTCAGTGGTGGATGAAATGCGTCCCTTCCCATACAGTATGTAATAAAGTTTCTCATGATTCCTTGCGTTTATTATAGCACTTGTCATCCTGAAGTATCCCAAAATCAAAGTACTTTACGTATCGGATGAATTCCCCTGAAACACCTGTGACAAATGGCAGCCGTTATACTACACAACAGAGCAGGTGGAGAAGTGGAAAATTATTTCACCGGCTGAATTGAGGGGGAATTTACTGTAGGAAAGCCAGGTTTTGCCAGCCCTGAAGCAGAACTTAGCAAGCACACTGTGGGGTGCTTTGAGATTTATAGTGTTACATAAATGCATTGTTTTCATTATTATAATTGTCCCTTATGATTTTTTTTATCTTGTAAACATAACATACAATTTTTGCCACAATTAATAATCATCTAGAACAAGTTAGATGTATTTCTAATTCAACAAAGTCAGAATGCTCTTTTAAAAATACTTACCAGAAATTGAATGTTATTTGCCTTTTAATTTAAATTGTATATTATTTTCTTTTCTACTGTTATGTAAATATTGTCATAGTAATCAGGTGTTCTAGTTAGACCCATATTTTTATATAATCTTCCATGGTTACCTATTCTTATGTACAGTAATAGGTTTTTAAAGTAGAGGGTAATGAATAAGCAACTTAAAGGTAAATGTACAGTACTTTGCTATATCGTGTACCAGATCTATTTTGCCTACCTGTAACCATCAATGGAAGTTATTGTTATTTAGGTAGATATTACTCTTTTTTTCTGATGCACAATATAAGAACGTGCAGTTCAAATGTTTCAAACGAGAGATCTTTGGGCTCGTCAAGCCTGGTAGTTTCACAGTGTGGGAGCTCGGATGGAGCTGCAGATGTCGCCGGTTTAAATCGATATTTTTCTCGAGGGAGACAGAAGATCGGTATGAGGTCACTGTGGAAAAGAATATAATTCCTTTTTCAGGCGAGTTTACAAGGGTCGAGAGACGGGTGTAAGCTGATTAATTCTACATGGCGAAAAAATCCCGTCCTAGCTCAAGAACGATATATACATTTCTAAAACAACCAACAACACGTCTACGTGGGGATCTTATATAGCTGCTCCTCTGAGCGGGAGTCACTGCGGGCCGTTAATTTATACTTGCGTTCCCACACGGCTATCCAGGGGGTGAGAAGCGAACCAAATTCCTGTCCTTTGAGACCCTCTAGTGGTGACTAGCGGGATTTCAATTCGCTGTGTCAGTAGTAAAAAAGTAATTGATTAATTAGGATTTCATCTCGCTGTTTCTTGAAATAAACCAGTGCATCGTCTGCAAAATCATGGCTAGGTAACTTAAAACTGTAAAAACGCACGTCTTACATGATTTTAGGACATACTGTTTATGTCAGTGATATGATTGTTCTATGGAATATATTTTTGAAAACAAAAACGGTGGTTTTAAAAGCTATCTTAGATGTTAGGCAAGTACAATCTGTTATAGCTCAATCTACTGTACCTCTCACAGATTACCATTCTTTCTGCAACTGAAGTTCTGTACTCAGTATTCATTTTAAGACTGCTTTGTTTAATCGTGTTGTTCTCATGTTTGCCTGATGAAATTCCTGTTACAATCAAATTAGAATTCATGGGTTTTTCATGGAAGATTTATAGCAATGCAGTTTTTAAAGTATACCTTAAATATGGTCTAATAGTAGTTAAGTGATGATTTTTGCATGTCTAAAAACGGTCCCACAATTTGTATTCTACATTGCAACACGTTGTATTTCTGTATTTAGTATAGCACATATGTGGGCACTCTCATAAAAAGGTTGCTCCCACAGCAAATTCTGTTTGCTTTAAGCAACATACTTTCATTTTAACAGGAGTTTTCATTCATCAATGGATTAAACCATGCAAATGTTAACTATTATTTGCTTTTTTATTAATTATAAAAAATTAACAGTACCTGACAAAAATGTTGTCAGAAAAAAAAAATCTTTATTTTTGTCCATAAAATCTTATTTTCTAGAAGGTCAGTGCAGCCATTTCACCTAACTGAATATTGCAAGGTGGGAGAAAATGACTCCATATATAAAGAAAAGTGACACACTCTGCAGAATGTGCTGTTTAAAATTTATGCTTTTCAATTCACCTCAAGTTGATTAAACAATTTCACCAGCTGAAAGGAGATCGTAAATTCTCTATAAATACCAAGCTCTGCAATATTATACCAACTAATTCTTTTTTCTTCACATATATATCTGCTATGTAAGGTCTGTCAACTAGAATTTTATATTTAACCATTTATTTATAGCAATATCAGGATCCATTTTAATATTTTCACATATTCGCATTGTAGAGTATGCCTAAAGAACCTACTTACAAAGTGGTTTGCCCCATGTTTGTACTAGCTTAAGAGGAAAATATTCTCCTATTGGGTAGAGACAAAATCATTTGAATTTCATGTCATGTACAGTATGATTATAAAGTTGTTATTTTTATTTAGTGTTATTTTAATTAAAATATGTGAATAGTTAATATTAATATTGGGGATATGCAAATATATACAGTCGGCACTGTTCCACTTAAAACACTAGTCAGGGTGACTTTCATACAGTATGAGCAACATTGAATGAATTGTATGAATCAATTATTCACCTTACAATATTAATTTTGATCACATTTTAAATACAGTATAACATATTTACTGTAAGTTAATATTTTTAATATTAAGCAGCCATATCAGGCTGCAACTCACAACTGGCAGCCCACTGTACCTCAGCAGGTGTGAGCCTGGTCAGTACCTGGATGGGAGACCTCCTGGGAAAAACTAAGGTTGCTGCTGGAAGAGGTGTTAGTGGGGCCAGCAGGGGGCGCTCACCCTGCGGTCTGTGTGGGTCCTAATGCCCCAGTATAGTGATGGGGACACTATACTGTAAGAAAAGGTGCCATGCTTTGGATGAAATATCAAACCAAGGTCCTGATTTTCTGTGGTCATTACAAACCCAGAGTGTGTCTTGAAACGAGTAGGGTTGTTACCCTGGCATCCTGGCCAAATTTCCCAATCATGGCCTCCTAATAATCCCCATTAATATATTGGCTTCGTCACTCTGATAGCTTGTGTGTTGTGAAAGTAATGGCACACTATGGCTGCTGTTGCACCATCCAGGTGGAGGCTGCTGGTAGTGGTGGATGTGAGTCCCCATTATCTGTAAAGTGCTTTAAGAGGAGTATCCAGAAAAGCGCTACAGTATATACTGTAAGTGTGAGCAATTATTATTATCATTTATATTTTTTATCAAACCATGAATGATCTAACTGAACAGTTTTAGGATTATGGGAGTTAAATGGCAGCAAACTTTGCAAAGAAGAAATAAAAACTTATTTTGATTACTTAATCAATCCAATCACAATGCGTTCTATTCAATGTTCTCACTTTACGTTTTACGTTCTTTTTCCTGACATTTTTTTTCCTGACATTCATCCTCCATCTTGTTCAGTCAAGGGTCATTATTTCTCAGGGGCTGATATCGATGTTGCATGTCTTCATGTTGGCTTTCTCCATATCTTTGAAATGCTTCTTCTCTCCTGGCCTCCTCTGATGCCATTGTCTTGGCAAAGCATGTTCTAGGAGAGTCTGGAGATTGACTTAACCCAACTGAGATGATGGCGAGTGACCATAACACCAGTGCTTGTGGTGCCTGGTTGGGAGAGCACACTTAAGTTGGAGCATCATATATCCAGTAATCTCAGGTCACAAATGTAGTACAGTATGTCTTTCTAAATAGTCATTGTCTACATGAGTGACCTGATGTTCAAGATCCCAAATTTTAATATATTTTTTTAACATATTGTAGCGAATTCAGGTTCCTGGGCTTGTGCCCTCACCGCTCCGGCCCCAGTTTGTCCCTCACTGCATGGGCTCAAACCCGGGTCTCTAGCGTCACCACTCAGCAGGGGTCTTTCCGACTGAGCTAGAGAAGACCTTCCTCAGTCCAGGCGGCCAACATCCCTGTTATGCGCAGGGGTGCATTCTTTACAATATTGAGATGTGTTCTCTGGGTGATACAGTATATAAAATGGGATATACTCTAAATAGGCAGGTCCCTCATACTGTATATACTTCCCTTTTCATAA